TGGTGAGCTGGAGTAGGTTAGCATTGCATCGGTAATACAGAAGGACCTGGGGACCCTGGTTTTAGCCTCCGTCCCCCATCGCTCTATGTGGGGTTAGAATCTAACTCTGCGCTGTGCCCAGCTGCCGGTGGGGGTTCTGATCACACTACGTGGCCATTTTCAGCTCCTCCACTTAGACTGGGAAATCCCCGGGTTGACCAAAGTCTTTCATTCTTGGTCAGATTTTCACAGTTCATGCTTTTTTTTTTTTTTTTTTTTTTTTTGAGATGGAATCTCACTGTGTGGCCCAGGCTGGTCTTAAACTGCTGGTCTCAAGTGACCTGCAACCCTCAGCCTTTGAGCAGATGGAACAACAGGTGTGCACGACCACGCCTGGTCCAGGAAGCAAGTCAAAAAAGAATGTCATGAATGGTGGACACACTACTTTGCTAGTGGACTTCTGACCATCCAGTATCTTACTTTCTATCTGATGCTTTGGGGAAGGAGGAGGCTGAGGCTCAGAGAGGTCTGTGATGGACCCTTCCAGGCCAGCACTAGGATAATCGGATTCAAACTCAGTTCTTTGGAATTAAGGAAGAGAGTAATAATTATTTTAAAAGATTTGATTTTCATTCCGATATTAAGTTACACAGTGTAATGCAGAGTCAGTGTTCTTGAATTGGGTGGGTGGGCTCGTGAGAGTTCGTAACTGACATATGCATTAGCTTTCTTCTTTTATGTGTGACATTCAATTGCATGGTAAAAATAAATACAGTCAGACATATTTATACTAAGAAATCAAGAAATGTAGAAATATATTAAAATTAAATTCTCTGTAACCCTACCGCTTATGAGTAACTTTCTTTGTTGCTGTCGTATTATAATTTAGTATGTACCATTAGAACGTAAGACACACAAAGAAGTAAAAACTTAAAACTAAGGAAACACAATCTGACCTATCTTATCACTACTAATTTTACCGTAAGCAGTGTGAGCCCTCTAACATCCCTTTCTTGTAATTGTTTGGCTAGTCCAGTTCCTTTGCCTTCCCTATAAATTTTAGAATCTACTCACATGGACTTAGAAAACTAAATCCCTATGATATTCTAATTAGAATCATGTTAATCTATAAATCAGTTTGGAGAGAACTGACCTCTTCACCATACGGGTCTTGACCTCTTTCCCATAAACGCAGGAGGTCTCTCCATTTATGCTGGTCTTCTTTGATTTATTTCATCAGCATTTTATAATTTGCATCATATAAATCCTCTACAGGTTTTATTAGATATATACCTTAGTGTTTCTTTCTGCTTTCCCTTTTGGAGTTATTGCAAATGGTATTGTGTTTGAAACTTGGTCTCCAATTGTTTTGCTGTTATACGCAGAAACACCACTGAAGCTGTTCTGACTTTGTTTCTTGTGAGCTTGCTACCCAGTCTCGCGAGTTTTACATTTTTGTGGAGTCATTTTGTTCATATTTGTTACTCATCTTGTTCATTCTAGGATTATCTATGCAGACACGTCACTTGCAAATAGGGTGATATGATTTGCAAATAATTTTATTTCTTCCTTTTCAATATTCCTCCCCCCCTCCTCCCTCCTCCCCCTCTCCTCCCCCCTCCCCCTCCCCCTCCTCCTCCTCCTCTTCCTCCTCTCCCCTTTTCTCTCTCCTGCCCCGGCCACCCTACAACTTCCTCTTTCCTCCTTGTCCCACTGGCCAGGGCTTTATATCTTACGTTGAATAGCCGTGGTAAGAGTGAACATCTTTGCCTGTTCCTAATTTTTGAGAAGAGACAGTTCGTCACTATTAATTATGTTAGTTATGGTTTTAGTCTTATAAATCTCTTTCATCATATTAATATATTCACTACATTTTCCTAACTTGCTATAGATGTTTACCATTAACGAGTGTTGAAATTGTCAAAAGTTTATGCTGCAGCAATTGATATAGTCATTTGGTTTTTTTCTATCGGTACCAGGGATCGAACTCACGACTGCCTGCTTGCAAGGCAGGCGCTTATACTGCTGAGCTAAATCCCCAGCCCGTTTTTTTTTCTTTTTATGTAATATAATAGATTGATTTTCAAATATTGGACCAATATTGGCTCCCTAGAATAAACCCATCAAGTCATTGTGTGTTTGTCTTTTTTACATACTGCTGGACTTCACTGCTAATATTTGGTTGCGAATTTTCTCATAGGTACTGGAATTGGTCTTTTTTTTTCTTATACTATCTTTGGTTTTAGTGTCATGGTAAAGCTAAAATTTATATATAAATGGGAAATGGTTGGGAAATGTTGGGAAAGATGTCCAGAAATGTTTATTTATGGACCCATGTATTATTTAGAAATATACTGTTTAACATGCAAGCATTTGGAGATTTTCTAGTCATCTTTATGTTATCGATTTCAAGTACAATTTCATTATGGTCAGTGCACGTACTTTGTATGTAAATATTTTAAATTTGTTAAGCTTTGTTTTATGACCCTTGATGTAATCCGGATAGAACAGTGAATGTCTCATTATACTCACAGAGAATTTGTATGCTGCTGCTGTTGTGTACGGTGTATCTCTTGTCCTATTGGTTACTAAGAAGCCTATTAAAATTTCCAACACAGTGGTGGAACTATTTATCCTTTAGGTCAGTTAGAGGTTCATTCCCCCAGTATTTTGAAGTTGATTAGTTTTTCTTTCTGGTATTTGCAAGCCCTGCTGCTAGGCTTAGGACTGTTATATTTTCCTAACGGATGGGTCCTTTGATCTTTGTGTAACGTTCCTCTTTGCTTCTAGTAACTTTTCTTTGAAATCCACTTTGGCTCATGTTTATCTCGCCACTTGAGCTTTCTTATGTTTGCATGACAGAGCTTTTACTTTCCTGCTTTTTTCTTTCAGCTAATTTATAGTATTTGAGTGAACTTATCACAGACAGCATAAGTTAGTCCTTTAGTCAATTTTTAGGCCATTTACATTTAACATAATTATCTACTATACTTGGAAAGCTGTCACTTTATTATTCATTTCATTTGTTCTAGTTGTTCTTATTCCTCTGATAAAGGGGAAAGGCACTGGGGATTCTTTCCACATCCTGGGGCCTGCGGTTCCTCTAGTTCCAAGGGGACAGTCCCCAGACTTTTAATCACCCGCAGGGCTAACACTCCCAGCACTGCTGCAGGATTGCCTGCAGCAATAATTAAAAACAGTTCCACCTCCCTCTCTGTCCAGACACTGCGTAACCCTGAGGGAAAACCACAGAATTCACTGTCCGAGTGTCCTTTCTTTGAGCTCTGGTTTCTCCCAAGTCTGCCTGTTTCCTTCTGCTCTTCAGAGTCCTCCTGAAGCTGCCCTGGTGCCCCGTCTGGACTTTTCAGCTGTGTCTGGTGGAGAGTTACAGAGGGGGCATACTTTTCCAGAACCAGAACCGCTATGGTGTTTGCTGTTTGTTTTCACAGAAGTAGTTCAGTGCGTATATGCAAACTTAGAAATACGCTTTTAAAAGTTGGTACAAGAAATGTGATATTTTGTTATCTACCCCTCACAAATAAATACTTTGCAAAGTCTTTTGAATTCGGTAAATACAGACATCGCCATTTTAAAACAACTTGATGTAAACATTAACTCGTATTTCACTTAGCATTTCCATATTTGTATATATTGTGCTTTAATTGTATACACACACACACACACACACACACACACACACACACTACCCCCCCCTCGCCCTCTGGTCTTTGCCTTCTCCCTTTCCTCTCCCTTCCTTAACAGTCCTTCTTCAATTTTCAGATTCTTTCTGGTTTTGTTTACATGGAAATATCACCATTTCGTGGTTTCACAGAATCCTAAAGCACAGATGACTATAAAGTGTTTAATTGGTACTCTGTAATTGGATTTTTAAGTTTATTCTGGTTTCTCTCCATTATAAATAACATGGACTTTTGCAGGGGTGATCTTTTGTTTGCTTGTTAATAAGCCATCCAATGAAAGTGAAGTGCGATGGAGATGGTGATTAAGCTGACTTTTTCCCAAAAAGCCGAGAATCTTGCCTTCTTCTCTATGTTTTGGGGTAGCTGGAATAACAGTTTTCTTTGTTCAGTAGGTTTAACGTATGACATTCCTTATTCCCAAGATTATCACTTTGTTCTCCATCAGCGTCCCCACCCTCGTGTTAGTTACTTGCTTTCTCTTGAAAGCCCGAGCCCTTGGATGTGGTCGGCACCCCTCTTTTCTGTTATCGGCTTTACTGTCCTGAGGAGCAGACTCCGAGGGCGCTCCACTGGAGTCAGTGGCCACGTTAGAGGGTTTGGGCTCTAAACCAAATGGCCTGAGTCCCAGTCCACAGTCCTTTTCTTCCTGGTATTTGACCAAGAATTGTTATTTAGTCTCTCTGTTCTTCAGAGACAGATCAGGCAGAAAACAGTACCCACCTCATTAGTTTGGTATTTGTATTAAAAAGTTGGTATTTGTAAGTGCTTACAAGCGTGCCCGTCTCCTAGTAAGCATTGTTTAAGGACTAGTTAAATATCGTTGTCCCATGATATCTTCAGGGGATTGGGTCTGGGGCCTCCCACAGGGCATTACACAGGGGACGCTCAGGTCCCCTATATAAAATATGTAGTATTTGCATATAACCTACGTACATCTCCCCTTGTATTTTAAATCATTCTAGGTATCTTATAATACCTAGTAAAACATGACACATAAATAGCTGTGACGCTGTACTGTCCAGCACAAAATGATAAGAAAAAAGTACGCATGTGCTCAGTGAAGATGCCATTTCTTTTGACTGTTTTTCACTGGTGGTTGGTTGAATCTACACGTGGAACCCACAGATGCATAGGGCCCTCTGTATTTTTTAAATAAATCTGGACTTCCTGCCATTTCGGTATTATTTAAATATTTCCCAAAATCTAGACTTCCCTCCAGTGTGCTAGAAACTGCGGGCCCCTCGGAGGTCATCCACGTCCCAGGTATATTTATTTTCTGCCCCTTCCCACCACGCGAACTAACTGCCTCTTACTTTGCAGAGCTGCCTCTGAGCTGAGAAACACCGCTCCGCTTTCTACTCTGCTGCCCGAGACAACCACATCCTCCTCACACACCCCAGGGCTCCCATGGAGACCTCAGGTCAGTGTGGTGCGGGGAGAGGGCCTGGGAGCCTGGCTGCTGAGCGAGGAGCCCCTGTGGTGGGAGGGCACACTCCCAGGGCTGGCAGGGCCACCTGCACCCAGCCCGGCTGTGAGAGCCCACCTCACCTGCTCAGCTGTGAGAACGTCTTGAACGATTCACATCCACACTCATGCATAAGCTCAGCTGCTTGCAACTCACTGCCTGGGTGGGGAACATAATGACAAGAATAGCTAAGGTTTATTACCAGATACCTGAGTAATAAAAGGAGTAATAAAAACACTTGAAAAATATTAACGGACGTAGTCTTCATAATGACCCCAGAGATAGGCATTATTATTACTTTCATTTTGCCAAGAGGAAACTGATGCACGATGAGGGAAAGTTTTTTCTCCTAGGTCACACAGACACGGTACGATCAAAGCAGGGTTTGAACTGAGGAACTTAGAAACAACATCCATACTCTTAAAGATTCTGCTGCACATTTCCTCAGGGAGCAGAAGGAGTCTGTACTGTAGGAATGCTGTTACAATGATCTTGCTTTCATAGATGGTAATCTAGGGCTCAGACAGGTTATATATACTCGATGGCACACAGCTAGTATGCGGAAACTTGAACAGGAACCCCAAGGAGCTGATTCCAAAGTCTCAGTGCTTCACTTTGTGTCACCCCAGGACAGGGACCGATGATTCTCCCCACAAATGTGTGTCACCTAATAATCACACAGCAAGTCAAAGACCACTCCTGGGGGGCACAGACTGTTATCCTCTCGAAGATCCCTGTCCTAAGAAGGAGAAGGAACCTCTTAGGCGAGAACCATCCCATATACACGTGGACCCACATAGACATTGTATGAACCAACAGTAGCGAACATCATCTTTGTCCAATGTTCATTCCTGTGCATACCCTTCCACCACCAGGACAGGCGGGAGCATGGCTGGGGACAAGCCATCCTGACACTGAATTCTTCTTGCACTCAGGAGAGATGGTCTCTAAGTCAGCATCTCGTCACTTGACTCTCCTGTCCAATAGATAAATCATATGGGTCTCCAAACGGATCCCCCAAAGCAACTGTTCTCACCCATGCTGCACATCAGAAGCTCCTGGGGAACGATTTTTAAAATTCAGTGATTTGGCTCCACCCTCAGAGATCTAATATGAGGGGGCTGGGGTGTAGATTGTTGGTAGACTTTAAAGCTTTCCAGGGCTTCTAATGTGCACATACAAGTGGGAACTAGCCGAAAAGTGAAACACCCTTGGGAAAGTCAGAGGGAGGAGTCCGTTTGGGGTCGCGGGGCAATGGAGAGTTGGGACTGCCAGACCCTGAGACTGATTCAAAAGATCTGAAGTCGAGGCACAGACCCTGAGCTCTCAGGGTCCTGCGTGGTTGGGATGTTGCTGGCCTTTTTTCCTCTCTCTCTTATTGTGTCTTTAGCTGTAATACCGTGTGAGCTCTGGGACTTTTGTTTCAGACAGCGTCATCAGGAGGTCTCATTAATCCACCTCATACTCCAGCTGCTCACGCGGTGTCACCCGGAAACCCTGTTAGGTCTTTTCCCAGTAAGCAGACAAATGGTTCCAGGGAAAAACGCAGCTTTCAAGAAAGAGCCTTTGAACTGAAGCTCTGTTTCAACAGTTCTGTGGCCGTGAGTAGATCACAAACCCTCTCTGAGCTCAGTTCTCCAATTTCTCCTGGGAACAGAAGCTCCTGGCTCCCTCTAGGTCTGATTCTCAGCACTGGAGAGGGAACACAGGAGGAGGTAAGGGCTCTAGTCCTGGAATCTATACTACGGGGAGAGCAGTGTTTGTCCTGCCAACGCCACAGGGCTCTTTTCAGCATTCAATGAGCTACACACTGGGGAAAAAAAAATCACAAGTCAGCCAAAGAATGCCAGCTGCTGTAACAAATAACCAAGTACCAGTGGAATAATACAACAAATACTCATTTTGTACTCACGTACAGACTAAGCTGGGTTTCAAACAGTGATTCAGGATCTAGGGGTTTTTTTCCTTCCTGTGGCACCAACATTTTCAACGTGTCCTCCAATGGGAGCAGTAGGGAGAGTGGTGCAGAGTTTTACGACCAGGTCTGTCCATCACTTCTATCACATTCCATTGGCCAGAACTAGTCATGTCCCGCCTCTGTACGTGCAGGGGAGTCTGGGTAATGTAGTTCTCTTGTTTCCCCACACTATAATGAAATTGATTTGAGGAGCAGATAGCATTTTCTTGTTGCACCTATGAGATAATCTCTGTTGAGTGCTATTTAAATGTTACTAGTAATACATTGCAGTAATATCTTGTATTCCTAGCTGAAGGAGAGGATGATAATAATGACCCTTCTAAGCCAAGACAGCCATCCATATCATATATGAACTACCCTGAGATAAAATAACTGAGGTTCAAAAAATACCCCATTTTTTTCTTCTGGTTAATCAAATGAATCATGCTTCCTTTTCCAAGATCAGTATGAATTCCAGGGTCATCATTTGGTGCCTCCCCCTGTTGGGTGGCTGTGAGAAGCCCTGGTCCTTTGAAGTCTGGGTAGTGGGAGGAATTCCGTGGTCTCCTGCCCACTTGGCTGCAGCCTCCACTGGGAAGGAGATGGGAGCTTCCCTGGGGGACATCCCTGTGCTTTGACAGAGGTGGCCCAGGAGACTTTTGCGACGACACTCAGAAACACAGGGTTGAGTAACTAATTACCTCACCCAATCTTTGCCATCACCCGTAAGCCACACGCCGGCTGGCCCTGCTCTTCCTCATTCCCTGGAACCTGGAGCCCGCAGCACTGTGCCCACACAGTCTTAAAGAACCTAACCTCACTCTCAGCTAAAGCATCAGCCTCATTGTCACCCCTTGGGGACAATCCAGAGGACTGATTTCATTAGCCAGCTGGGGGTCTTGAACTCACATGCCTCCACGAGCCAGCTAGAGGGAGTGAGGCTGTGGACCCAAGAGAGCAAGCACAGGAAGAATTAGCGAAACCGTGCCCATCTCAGGGGGCAGCTGCTCCCCAGGCCCTGCTGGTTGTCCCAGGTCAGATTGTCCCATGCATGCCCAATATCAATAGATTCTCAGATTTTTAAGAGATGCTAGACACCCAAACTTTAATGCCAGATCTCAGGATTGGCAGCTAATTCATTTTTAAAGATACTACACAGCCCAAACAAAACATGTCTGCAAGCCAGATGTGGACCAGAGATGGAGAGTGTGTTCCAGTTGCCCAGACTTTCAAAAACAAACTTTATTTACATCGTCTCCCAGGGCTACTGGCAACTTCTCTATTTTTCTCTGAAGCATAAACATGCAAGTCCTCTTTCAAAACAGGGAGAGGAGAAACTCAGAAGACAAGGGCTTGGCTGCCCTGCAAATAAAAAGGAAGAGAGACAATAGGTGGCTACAGCTTTGGGTTTTTCAGTGTAGTCCACAGGGAGAGAAGGAAGGGGAAAAAAGAAATGGGAAGGAGAAAAGGACAGGGGAGGGAGGATGGGAGGGAGAGGGAGGGAAGGAAGGAAGGAAGAAAGAGAGAGAGAAAGAAAAAAATATGACACCAACTAATTTCTAAATAACTCAGCCTGCATTAACTCTACATCTTCAGGCAAGGTAGAAATGGACAGATGGAAAGACGGATTGTGACCAGCCTCCATGCCAAGCTAAACGATGTCTTGGCCAGTGAGAGGAGATGCTGCCTTTCCCAGCAGAGTGGCCAGCTGCGCAGAGGTGGCTGTAACATCCTGCCCAGTCTCAGCCTAGAGGAGGCTCAGGATCATGCCCTGATGGTGACAAGTGTCTCACAGAGGGCAAGTAAGAGCCAGGAAGAAAGGGGGGCTTTAGAAATGCTAGGTGGGCCCAGAAGACTTTGTACTAACTCTCCCCAGAGCCATGAAGGGACTACTGGTGAGCCTATGGGCACACGGAGCTTTGGCCTAAACAAAGTTTAGCTCTTGGACGTAACCTGGTGATTCTGAAATTTGTAGTTTCTATCCTATTTCCTGCCAAAGGAATCTGAGACACTTAAGTTATATAGTAAATTAAACACAAAGCTGGAGCCCCAAAGAGGAACCAAAAGGAAAGGTCCCCATCCTTTGAGATGAGCTGATTTTTGAGATCGGGGTTCCGTCTGGCTGTAAGTTTCCTGGCAGCCAAGTCAAAAAAGGAAGCCCAGAGGCATGTGGTTAGTGTCTGGTGGCTAAGACTGCACTCTGGCCTGCAGAGACAAACTCTTGGTTGGAGCCCATTGCAAAAAGGCATGTGCCATGTGGAGAGGGTTCTCCGTATGTCCTGTCTTACTCCAAGACAAGATCAGACATGCAAGAATTTACTTGCTGTAAGATGGCAAGCAGGAGAGGGAGGAGAGAGTAAGCTGCCTGGAAGGGATGCAAATTGGACCCCAGTGCCGAACAAAGGGAAGCAGGGCTGGAGGAAAATGTCTTAGCGTGATGGGAAGCCCAGAAATGGCCAGCAGTGCGGTCAGGGAACCCCCGCCCTAAGTTACCCATGAATATAGACATCCCTTAGGGACACCTCGGACTCTGCTGTGCTGTGTTGCTGGTAATCCCGGCTCCACACAGACGCGGATGTCGCGGCACAGCGGCAGAGTCCAGTGTCAACTAAACTTTACCAGCGGGAGATCTCCGAGGTGGTTCATTTTCCAGACATCAGCTGCTTATTCTCTTACCATCTTTGGGTGCTGCCATATCGCCATAGCACTATTAAAGAAAAGGTCGTCCTATTCCTCGTCAAGATGGCAACAAAGACTTTATTCAAGGATAACCTAGAAGGGCGTAGAAAGCTGGTTTAGCTCCACAAATGAGAAAAAGAGAGCAGAGGACCTGCAGCCCTGGGCAGACGGAGGCATCAGTGGCTGGGAACCGCCTAAGAGGTCCCAGCAAGGAGAGGGGTTCTTGCTAACCTGACCCAACAAGATGCTTGCTGGGAGCAGGTCACACTACGTTTCTTTATACAGGCTCAATTTTAGTTTCATGTATAGATTGAAGAACAAGTTGCCTTAGTTGCTTTTCCTATGGCTGAGACAAAATACCCAACAACCACAAGTTAAGAGAGGAAAGGTTTATTTTGCTCATAGTTTGTGGAGGTTTTGGTCCATCACTGGCTGGCTCTGAGGCAGAGGGGCATGGCAGACGGGCATCACAGGGGAAAAACAGTTCATGGTGAGCAGAAGATAGCAAAACAACAAAGGACAACACAGCTTTCTGTCCTTTGTGTCTTATCCAGGTTACTTAGAGAGGGAAGCACTCACACCCTAAATCCGAGTGTCCTTGATCTTAGCACTGTATCATGAATCTGTTCCAGCATGACACACTCTAGATCTAGCCACCTCTGACCACATGAGGCTTTGGGGGGGACTTCTAAATACCAGTCATAACATAGTTACACATATTTCCCAAATCTATATTAAAATGAATGCATAACTATTCAAACTTTAGGAATTTGTGTGCCACATAAAATCATCTGTGTAACACTTTCTACACAGTAGTCTCTCTTTATCCATGGGGAGTATATGGATCCCTAAAGCCACAGATAGTACTAAATTGTTGGTACATGTCCTACAGCTTTACCTATATGGCCCTCAGCTTTGCCACATTTAATCAGAGTTAATCTGTCCTTCATCTTTATGTCCTGGTAATTCTAGTGCTTTGAGGCCACTATTACACAAAATAAGGATTACTTAAACACAAGCACTTAAACACAGCTATCAACACTGTGATAGCTCATCTGACCACTGTGATAGTTACTAAGAGACTAGCAGGAAGGTAATATATACAGTGTGGATACACTGGCAAAGGGATGATTCAAGTCCCAGGCAGGCTAGAGCAGCACAGTGTGGAGTTTTATTATGCTACTTAGTATTATAATTCTAATTATCGAGTTCAGTCATCCAAGTATTGTAATCCTCTTTCTAGTTTTCCTCACAATCCAAAAAGTTATATTTGTAAACCCATTGAGACGTTATTGGAATCCCAGCAAGATAATTCCAACCTACCACCACCAATGCAAACCCACGACGAGAGTAAAGACACCAAGACATGTTCCAAGTTAAGGGCAGCCAAGGAGTCCTAAGTCCAATCCTTGTGAGGACATGCGGACAAAGGCCTTGATCCTAGGCCTCTCCCCAAATTAGCTATCTTGTCAAGAAGGGGGTGGCTCAGGGATGAGTGACAGTGAGGATTCCTGGATTCCTGGCGGCCAGGTGAGAGAAGGGCACCTCTGTAAACTGCAGAAATAAAGACATGCAGGAGGATCAATTCACATAAATTAATTAAGGTAGCAACTGGATTGTTTTGGGAGGCTGTGGCTTCAGTTTCTGATATGCAGACTCTTGTGCCCTGGGGACTCAGCCTCTTTACCTTGAGGCTCCCACCCGGGTGACATTCCCGGAGCTGAGGAGCTGATGGCTCTAACATCCCGCAGTGCTCACATCCCCATAGCAGTAGGAGAACACTGCCCGCGGAGAGGAGAGGGACTGTCTGTTGACTTTAGAGATTACATACCAGCACCTCGCTGGCCTTGTTTGCAATGCTTAGAGCCAATTGAAGAGAGGAGGAAATACCACAGCCCGCTCTGTACATAGCAGGATAAGGAAATGTCTCCAAATAGTCAGAGCTGCAGTAACTGCTGTGCATTCAGGGGAGTCACTGGGGTTGTCTCCCATAACTTAGAAGGACAAGCAACTTAAAGTCTATGAATTATTTACTCCTGAAATTTTCTACTTAATATTTTGGGACCTTGGATGGGTGGGGCACCTCCATGCATCCCCCACTTTAGGAAATGCTAGTTTTACAAAGAGCACATAAAAATGGTCTGATGAAAACATTGTTTTCAGTCCTGATTAGTGTGCTGATTTTCAGCTCTAGGCTGGGTACCTTGACACACACCTTGAGGTTCAGAGAAGTGCTAGAAACATTCACTGAGGCATGGAGGTGGCTGGGAGTGAGGCCAGGTGAGCTGAACCTCCAACCCCGTCGTTCTGCTTCCAGATGCAGAGCTGGACCTCCAGAGGAGCGTGCAAGCTGTGCTCCGGGAGCTCAGTGCTCAGGCCCCTGCCCTACAGAGCAACCAGGGTAAGTGCTGGCAGGCAGGTGGCAACTACTCCCTCTGGCCCCCGGCTCACCCTTCCAGCCCTGTCCACTCATTCCAGAAAGGACCCAGCAGGCAGCTTCGTGGGTGAGAAACCCCTACCCAGGGGAGCAGGAAACCCCGTGGCTCCCTGGTTCAACCTTCCTAACAGCCATGGCAGAGGCACTGGGGACTTGGTGCCCTCTTCCTTAATCATGTTCCCCAGCTCCACTTCCAAACCAAAGTCCTCTCTGACCTGCAGAACCACCTGAGGGTGGCCGGCTAACATCTGTAATCCCTGCTGCTTTGTGATCCGATGCACACACCTGTCCCCACTTGGGTCTCCCTCCCCCTCTGCCTTGGGGACCCACTGTTGACAAAAGGCTGAGGATCGGAATGGTCTCACTGGGGAAGGACTCACTGGAGCCCAGTGCTGACCACAGGCTCAGCATGACTGGACAGTCACAGTGTCAGGCCCAGAGGCCTCCCCTCTCAGAGCCTGGCCTTCTGGGCTACCCTTTCTCCTGGCCAGGCATGTGGAGATGGTCCCTGCACAAGAAGGTAGAACGAGACCCCAGGAGGAACCCAGCGCTGGTCCAGATTCTGCTCAGAGAGCTGGAGAAGGTGGGTGCGCTGGCTGCGGGAAGCTGGGTGGCAGTGAGAGGAGGAAGGGCCCCCTGGGTTGGGGCTCATCCGGGCAGCTCTGTGTCATCTGTGTCCCCCGCTTGGTTCCTACCACGCACATCTCCCTCCTCGGCCTTTGCCTGAGTAATATTTTCTTGGCATCAACTCCCAGTGCTTTGAGTTAACATTTTTAAAACGAAATGAGACCAGCCTGGGCTGTGAAGTTCAAGGCCAGCCCGAACGGCATAGTGAAATCTTGTCTCGAAAAGACAGAAATAAAATAAATAAAAACAAATAGGAAGACAAAAGGAAAAAGGAAAGAAACTCCATAACATGGCCATTTATGGACAATCAAGTCACTCGTTGGGAGTATAAAGCACCGCTAAACACACGCATAGTCTATGTTTTCACAATCACCCGCATGGCACCTCGAGTCCTCTCTGGCCACTTCACCCTCTGTGGCTAGGAAACACTGCCCTGGAGGAAAGCTCCAACTGGAGAACTTGCTTGTCACTTTTCTTCTTGCTCCTGGCCTCCTCCAGTGTGCTGCAAGCCCCCCAACACACACACACTCAGGGACCCCCACTCCTCTATTTCTCCCACTCCTGCTCTCCCCAGGGCAGACTGGAGCCCTGGGCAGCGTGGAAAGCTGCCTGCTGCCCCCTCACTGGCCAGCTCCAACCCTCACCAGCTCCTGCAGGGACGACCTGCATGGTGACCTCCCGCAGCGTAGCCCTAGCCCGGCCTCCATCAGTGTCAGGGATCGCCCTGTTTTCCAGGCAGTGAGCGAGGACCTCTGGCACATCATCATCCCCCTGCTGCACACCCTGATGTACGTGCTCACTAAGGTGAGTGGGAGGCTGGGGCAGGGTGACAGTGGTGACCCACCGTTCTCTCCCCTTAGCGGACACCGCATCTCCACCAGGACAGCCTAGAAACAGTCAGGGACCGCATGCTGCACAATGATGCATAAACACCAGCTTGCCTCTTCCCCTCCTACTCAGAGATAAAACTGGAGGTGGTGGGGAAGGGGAGGTTCTGTGGAGCGTGTATGGGGAGCTCGCAAGCCTGGTGGGGTCTGCGGGCTTGCTTATATGCAGACACCACTGCTTCTTACACGGGGAAGAGACACGAGGAAGAGCATCTGTTCATGTCTTGGGGGAACATTGAGGAGTCTCAGGAGAGCTCAGGAGGATGAGGAGCAGAAAGACAAGCCTGGGGCTGCCGGGGCAGCACAAGGAGGACAGGTCTCGGCTCCAGCCCAGGCCCAGGGCACAGGGATGTAGAGGGAGAAGGGAAGCGGGGAAGCCTCCAGGCTGTCATGGAGCATTTTCTGCCAGTGAGGTGCAGCGATCAGGAGCAACCCCACGGCTCTGCTCCTGGAGAACCACAGGAATGCGCTGCAGACTGAGCCAGAAGGGTTACGAGGGGAGTTGATTGGGTGGTGGACTGCCATGCAATAAATTTCTATCCAAGGGGGCGCAGGACAAGGGGCAGGAAGGTGCAAATCTGGAAGAGAACCACGAGTCAAGAGCACCTGTCCCGCCCTGGCTTCCTCCTCCTAGCTCCCACCCACCTCCAGCCCACCCAGGACCCTTCCTGGCTAAGGCTTTCGTGCCCGGCCTCTCCCTGTCACCAGGCCACAGGCATCACAGAGGAGCTCTACCGCAAAACTTACGCCTTCTGCACCAGGTTACTGACCCTGCCCACCCCTTACTGCACGGTTGCCTTGGACTGTGCCATAAGGCTGAAAACAGAGATAGCGGTCCCAGGTGAGAGCTGCTGGGTTCCCTGGTCTCTCAGCACCATCCAAGTCCAGGGCTTCTTCTCTCGGATGCCATGAAGCTCCAGAGTCTTAGCACCTTCCATGGGAGGTGGAGGAAGGGAGGCAGAGACCAGCGCTTGCTGGCTGACGTGGATTGCTTTGCAGGAACGCTGTACCAGAGGACGGTCCTTGCAGAACAAAGCTTGATGAATGAACTGTATCCCTACCAGGAGAGGTGAGTGGCCCCAGGACACTTGCCTTCTTCCCCTAGAGGTGTGGGGCAGGGTAACTGCTCATTGGCAGGACAAGAGAGGACGCTGGGTGGAGAAGAGCCAGGGCAGGGCTTTGCAGTCGTGACACCTGACCAGCAATGGAGTGAACATCGAGCTGTAGGGGACACATCAGACCAGCCAGGCGGCCAGAGGTGGCTCAGAATATCCATAGTGCAGGCGCCTGGGGCCACAGTCACACAGTGAAGTCTCAAGCTTTCATCTGCGTGTGCCAGCTGCCCAGATAAGACAGAAGTGGAGGGGAAGAGAGGAGCGTCCATTGCTTATGTCAGAGAGATGTGTGACAGTATTTCCTTTCACTTGGCCCTGAGAGACACAGCTTGAATGAAGGCTTGGGGAACCACATTTAGGAAGGGGACAGGTTTGAAAGGGACCCATGAGAACTAGTGCTGGAGAGGTGGGGTGGCATGGTTGACTGAGGAGGAGACAGTGGGCGAGGTTGGTTTTCTGGTGTGATGGGGGTACTGAGAGAAGCTGGGTTTCACTCTCCATTCAGAGCTGTTTCTGGCAGGATAGATTTAGGGTGGCCTCCCAGGGGTGACTGGACCACTGGATCTGAGGATCTGAGGGAAGGAGGAGGATGTGACTTGGAACTCCCCTAGACACAGGACCAGGCCTGCTTTCCTGTGTGAAGTCAGCGGACTTCAGCCAAGAGGACCAGCACCCCCTCCAGAAGGACCCCACAAGCTCCTGCCTACCGTATCCCCACCGCTGCTTTCTGTGCCCACAGAGTGTTCCTCTTCGTGGATCCCGAGCTGGTGTCTGCCTCGGTGTGCAGTGCCCTGCTGCTAGAGATTGAGGCGGCCCAGGGGCAACAGACACCTGAGGCCTGCATGCGCCACGTAGTGTCCCATGCCCTGCAGGCCGCTCTGGGGGAGGCCTGTCACCCCGGTGCTCTGCACAGGAAACTGCAGGTAACTCACACCCAGATCCCTGCAACTCCCACCAGGCACTCCCTGTCCTCTTCTGGCTTCCCCTTCTCCCCTAAGTAAATACTACGAGCTAATTATCAGTGCATCATGGGAACGGCTGGAGTAGATGACCGCTGAGGTCAGGAGCTACCAGACTCAGCAGTGATGCTGCGGTACAGCAAGGGCCTGGCACCAGGAAGGAGCGAGCAGCTCCAGGAGGGTTCTGTTAGTCTGGACCTGTTAGTCTTGCCCCAGCAGGAGCCCCTCACCCTGACCCTGCTTCGCCCGTTAAAATGCACTGGACTATTGCTTTTCTTGCTGTGTGACATCTGGAATTCTCCAGTCTGAGTCCTACATTTTAGATCGTTTCTTTGGCTGTCCCCTTCTTTTGACTGCTATGTACTTTCTTAACCCACTGTAGGCCACCTCCTCCTAACAGGGTGTGAGTGGCACAGGGGCCCCCAGTTGCAGGCTGCGTGGAACTATAGCTGTGGCAGGGCAGGAGCAGGCCCAGGACATGGGGTTCTGGAGCTTTGGGCCTGATGGGGGCAGAGAGATCTGATGTAGGAGGTGGGGTGTGGGGGGGGGGGGGTGCTGGGCCGAGACTCAAGCCATGTGGTCTTTACCCGCAGACCAGCTCCCGCCGTGTCCTGGAGCACTATTTCCACGCCGTGGTGGCTGCGGTGGAGCAGATGGCAGGCGAGGCCAGCCCAAGCCGCGCAGGACACCTGGAGAAGCTGGAGGAAATTTACTGCTCGCTGCTGGGGCCGGCGGCCGCCAGGAGGGGGCGCTGCGGCAGTAAGCGGCGGGTGGTCTGGCCGAGGTGGGGCGCCTGGCAAGAGCCCGACTGGCCACTGGGGGCGCCAGAGAGCAGCGTTGTAGCTGCCTGGAACCTGAGATGTAACAGGAGGTTATGGTGGCCTGGCCCTGTAGAGCCCTGTCCATATATTTTAAATCACGTGTATCAAATCAGGGCACCTTCACAGTGAACTTGAGAGATTAAAACTAGTTTCACGCCTCTTTTACGGAGGAAGAAACTGAATTAGAAAAAAGTTAAAAATCTCACCTAAAATCATTCAGTTGGTGAGGAGCAGAGCCCAGCTTCAAATCCAGGCACTAGGCCACCACTCTGCTGCCGTGGCCTAGGGATTCGGTGACCAGAAGACCCTCCAGAGAGGATCGAAGGTAGCAGAGGAGTCCTCATTTATATGCGGTGTCACGAGCTTTCGATCCAGCATCTTCCTTCCTGTTTGCACATTTATAGAGCACCCCACACTGTGCCAGGAGGAAGACCACGTGGGCAGGGAAATGCTAAAGAGCCCAGACAGGTATCCCCGAACACACATTTCCTAGTTGGATGACTCTGATGTGTAAACAGAATCTGAGAGCCACACCCTAAGGACACGGGTTAGGTGTGTCCAGCAAACAGGACTCCAAGTTCTGGCTGGAGAGAATGACACCGTAGGCCACTGGAGCAGTCAGGAAACTTCTAAAAGGAAAGGCAGCCAGAGAGCTTGGCACTGACCTCTCTGGGGGTCACCCAGGCCTCCTGCCGCTCTCTACAATTTGCTCTGAAGCAGGGAACAGAAGCATGCAAATGACCAGAAGTGGCCTGAGAGAAGCAAGTCTCGGTTTCACCTGGATGTGGGTGGGGTGTTTAAAGAACACTTGGAAAACCAGCCCCGTGGGATACAGCACTGGCAACAGGGCAGGATTGAGAGTGGATGAAGGGCTGAAAGAGACTGAGCTGATTTGCAAAGGACCCTAAGGCTGAGTTGGGGAGGAACAGGAAACAAGGAGCCCTGAGCATCCTCAGGCTGGGAGGTGGCAGCGGCAGATTGGATGAGCTGATAGTGACAGATAGAGGAAAGGCATATTCTAAAAGTCCAGGGAGGTCTGCCACCCCCTGGGCCCCGGCATAGGAGCTGCATGGGGGATGGAGGAGGGCAGAGCAAGGTCCACAGTGCTCCTCTGGTGGTCACCACAGCCTGCCCCTTTCTTCAGGTGACCTTCTCCAGGACCAGCCGCCAAGCATCCCCCTGCCCAGTCCCTACATCACCTTCCACCTGTGGACTGACCAGGAGCAGCTCTGTACGTGCCCTTGCCTCTGACCTCCAGGGGGCAGCAGGCTGGAAACCGCGGTGTATGTCTGTGTGTGTGTGTTTGTCCGTGTGTCTGTGGGGCTGTCGGTGTTTGCTGTTTTCCCCTGTGAAGTTCTGCCCATCTGAAAGAAGCACAGATGTTCCCTCTGTTGGAGCAGCTCAGTGCATTAGCCACTGGTCTCATGCGCCCAGATCATGCCATAAGGCCTCAGTGACCCAACGATGTCCCCAAGAGGGAGGCAAACACAAAACCTCAGGGTTCCCGAGCTGGGGGAGACCTAGAGAGGCTGGGAGGGCTCCAGGGTCAGCTAACAGTGGTGAATGCTAGGTTAAGTTGATTTCTTCAGTGCTGGATGCTCATGGTCACTGATATATTTACTAACAAGAGGCAGCCAACGTGTGCAGGCTTCTGTTTGGGTGAAGTGTTTGACTCCCACCCACGGAGCCCAGACCCTGTGGCCCTGATGGCCTCCTGTTCTCCTGTCCCAGGGAAGGAACTGGTGCTCTTCCTCCGGCCACAGTCGCAGCTGCGCCTCAGTGCTGACTTGGAGGCCTTGGATCTGCAGGGACTTGGGCCAGACCGGGACATGGCCCGGGTGTCCATGCTGTCCACAGACAGCGGTATCGAGCGGGACCTTCCTTTGGGGGCCGACGAACTCCCTACCCCCAGCAGCCCTGAGATGGATCGAGCCGGGCTGCAGCGCAAGGGGGGCATCAAGAAGCGCATGTGGCCCCCAGATTTCCCCATGCCTGGCAGCTGGGACGGGCCCCCAGGGCTGCACCGGAGGACGGGCAGGCCCAGCGGGGACGGAGAGCTGCTGCCCGGGGTGTCCCGGGTGCACACGGCCCGGGTGCTGGTGCTAGGGGACGACAGGATGCTGGGGCGCCTGGCCCAGGCCTACCACAGACTCAGGTAGGGCCCCGAGCAGGCTGATGGGGACTGAGGTTGGTTGGGGGGTCTGGTATGGGCTGGCAAAGCATCAGGAAGGGGCAAAGGGTCAGGAGGAGAGGGGACCCAGGAAAGAAGACCATGTGGTGTGTCTGCCAGGCAGGTGGCCAGCACAGAGCGCTGTGCCCAGATGCTCCTCCTCACCGCTCAGGCAGAGTCATGAAGTTCCCAATCTCACAGCCGAGCAAACAGAAGTTCTGAGGCTGAGAGCAGAACCTGTTCAGCACCAAACACCCGCCCTTACCCAGTGTGCTTTGCTATGTTTGGCAGGAAACGGGAGACCCAGAAATTCTGCCTCACCCCCAGACTCAGCCTGCAACTGTACTACATCCCAGTGCTGGCCCCCCAGGTGACCGGGCAAGGGACGTGGGAGCAGGAGAGGGGTCCTGCAGGGCAGGGCTGTGCCAGACAGGGCCACGCCTGCAGCCTGGCAGCCCGTGGCTCAGGGACGAGGAGCACCATCCTTACAATGTGGTGCTGGGAGAGACCTGTCTTCTGACTCAGAAGCCACCAGTCAGTGCCCAGGGGTCCGTATGTGACAGTCAAATTCTCTCCCAGGGGCTGCCTTCCATGGCTGGCTTCTGTATTTTTGTTTTTATTTTTATAATGAAATTAGTTGCAAACTTCTCAAACATGGTTGCTAGTGCTTTCTGGCTCTCTCTCTCTCTCTCTGCACACGCACACTGCCCTCCCCATACTTGGGATCACAGAAAAGATTCAGGCAGTGGAAACTCATTAATCTAGCGGGGAACACGGAGCCACACTTCAGGTTTCTCCCCCGGGAGCAGTGCAATCAAAGCAACACTTGCGTCTCCCCTCTGCAGGCTGGCACCTGGATTTCTGTGCCCTAGAGGGCAGCCCTTGGCAAAGGTTCTTCCAGCCTCACCTAAATTTGTGAAAGAGAACTCATCTGTCTTTGTAGGGTGCAGAAGCCCTGAGAAATGAGCTGATCTGATCATGTTCACAAAGCATAGACCAGGAAGGGCCTGACCCGTCTGCTCTGACCCTTTATCCCCAGGAGCCCGGAGCGTCCAGGCCACCTGAGCTAGGCGAGCTGGCCACCTTCCTGGGCCGCGCGGACCCTTGGTACGAGACCACTGTCAACACCCTGTGTCCCGCCATCCACAAACTGGCTCAGATGGTAGGGGCGGCCAGGGCACCAGGTGGGGGGCAGCGGCTGGAACCCTGGCGGAGGCAGGATCCAAGGGGGGCAGGGCGGGAGGAGGCCCTTTTTAGAGGCTGCCCTGGACCTCAGGAGTCAGCTCCAAGAGGGCTTCGGGCCAGGATGAGGCAGGGTGGAGTGAGGCAGGAGAGGAGGGGAGCCCCGTGTGGCCAGGAGTTTGCCTAACCAGGGTCCTTTAGTTCGTCAACATTTTCATAAGCATCTAGGCCGATCCTGGTCCTTCCTTTGTGAGCTTCCCGGGGTCCTTTCTCTCTGTTTCCTGAGCACTTACTATGTGCTGGAAACTGGCCTGAGTGCTTGCACGAAGGGACTTGGTCACTGAATTCTGACAGCAGCCCGCCTGGGTAGATTCTCTGGCTGCTGGGCTCTGCTCCTCCCACAGCGGCTCCACAGATCAGATTGGATGACTTCTCTGAGGAAGTGACCTGCAAAGGCCTTAACGCAGTCAGAACTGAGTGCTCTTTACCGTCACAGGTGTTACAGACTTCTTGTCCCACCTGCAGCTTACCTAAGGGTTTTCTCACTCGAAGAGTTTAATGTTTTCATGTAGAAGGCAAAACGCTTCTATTCTCTATGGAGTCAGGTTTGAAAAGCCGTCACCTTCCTGAGAGTAAATATTCACCGGTAATTTGCTCAGGCAATTTTAGTGCCTCAATTTTAATATTTAAATAACGAGCCCATCTGAAGTTCATTTTGCTGTTTCCTGTGAGGTGTGGAGCTTTGTTTTTTTCCAAAGTTTTATCAGTTGCCTGAAGCTATTTATTGCATAAGCCACCTTGCCTCTCCCACTTGATATGACAGTCTTAGCACTTACTAAAGCTTCACACATTCTGGAGTTTACTTCTGGATACCTGTTGTCTTTCATTAATCTACGAAGTTTTGTATAAATTGATACTTTTCTGTTTTATTGTTTGGCAGGGTAAACCCACACCATGACTTTTTTAAAACGATTTTGCAGAATACGCTTATTTATCTTTCCTGATAAACTTGGGAACTTCATTCCTAGTTCTGTTTTTTATATTATTGTTTAGTTGTATTGGGATTCTGATTGAAACTCGGAAAAGAATCAGTGTCTTTAGCATGTTAACTTTCCCTCTCTGGAAGTAAAATTGAGCTCTTCATTCATGACAGGCTCCTTGTATAATAGTATCACTTATTTTTATTTTAAAGGGAGTAAAATTAAACACAACAAAACTGAACAAAATAGGACATAAGAAAGCAATGTAAGAAATATAAATTTCAAAGCTAGACGACCTGAGATCTTCACTGTCTATCATATTGTCTCTTGTTTTCTTCTGAATAGTTGTCCATGTTTTTGCATACAGAGAAGTCATACAAAACAGCATCGAATAAAACTGATCCAAACAGAATGAGGAAGGCGTGTTAGGTCTTCAAAACCAGACAATAGGGAAGTCACTAATGACGTTGTAGAGTCTCTCGTTCTCTTCAAAATAGCTGTCCACACTTTCATGTATATTGAAGTTCAACAAAACGAAACAGGCAGGGGGGAGGGGTTGCTTGGTTTCCTGGTGCTCCAGGTCCCGGCCTACCGGGGGTCCCAGTAAACACAGGTGGCTCCTGTCCTGGGCCACCACATCCTGCCACGCTCACAGCCACTCATGGGGTGGAGGGTTGCTTCAAGCTGTTTCTTTCTTTTTTTTTTTGGTACCGCGATCGAACTCATGACCACGTGCTTGCCAGGCAGGCACTTACACCGATGAGCTAAATCCCAGGCCCAAGCTGTTTCTTTCTAATGAATTGACTATTTCACTGCCCAACAGACCATAGAAGGACATCTCTTTAGGCTCCTGCTTGAAACCAACGCATCAGGAAGCTTAATTCAGGGACAGGAATAGTATCATTTTTAGCACATATTTTGCTCCTTTTTTGCTAAGTTAGTTTCCATTTTTAATAGTGCTTCTTGGCGTAATGAATGGCCTTTGTTTCTGAGTGGAGATCTAAAGGTAGAACTTACCACTAATGAGAAAGGAAACCATTGACTTTTATGTATTTATCTATTTTGGTGTTTTTAAACGGTGATGCAAAAACTCCATATAACATAAAATTTACCATCTTGTACCCATTTTTACAAAACTTGTCACTGTATTGAATTCTCCATTTGAGGTAAAACCTGAGCTTCTGTCCAGGTCTAATTCTACAGACGGAGTATCCCTAGTCTGAAAACCTAAAGTCTAAAATGCTCTGTAATCTGAATTTGAGCCCCTACATGTTGCCACAAGTAGAAAATCCCATACCCAACCTTGTGCGATGGATCACTGTCAAACCAAAAATATTGTACAAAATTGCCTTTAAATAGGAAAGAAATGAATTACATGCTTATACTTGGGCCCCAACACCCAGACAGCTTATTGTCTAAGCATATGATGCAAACTTTTTGAAAAGTCTGAATCAGAAACCCTCTGGTCTGAGGCATTTCACTGAGTCCATTACCAGTAACATGCAAACACTAATTGGTTTATTTGTTTACTTGTTTGTTTATTTTGAAACAGGGTCTCACCATGTTGCCCAGGCTGGTCTCAGGCTTGAGATCCTCCTATTTCATCTTCCCAACCTGGTGGCTAGCACATACCCAGCATACTAATTAGTTCATTGACTGAGCCAGAGATTACCAAGCTGAAAAGACATCAGATTGCATGGTTCTACCTCTTACTTTCCCGTCTACAGGATACTCAGGCCTCAGAGCATTGCCCCATGTGTTCTGGCCAGCGAGTACCTACCCAAACCCAGCGCCCTGTGCTTTAGACATACGAGTGCTCAGTGTCTCTGTGGAATTAAAATGCATCAGGTTCTCTGGGGAGATGGAGCTTTAGAGCAGTATGCTTTAATTAGGAATCGAAATCAAGTGGTCAGGAGGTTTGGAGTGTGGTGAAGGTCTAGGTCCCTTTGTGCATCAGAGCGTAACGTAGGGACTTGGGAGTTGGTTAAAAAATGGTGCCTCCCACAGTGGCCTGCAGGAGGCAACTGAAGATATCTCTGGTCTCTCCACAGCCGCTCTGTCTAGACACAACCCAGACGGTGGACCCGTTCATCCTTGATGTCATCACCTACTATGTCCGCATGGGCACCCAGCCGATCTATTTCCAGATCTACACAGTCAAGGTAAGCCTCCCTGCTGGGCCCCCACCGTACTGTGCCAGCCTGCTGGAGCCCAGGACCCCATTACCTTTGTCTTGGAAAATGCTAGCCACCAAGTGGCTAATCATAATCACACCCAGATGCTATGGCTTGGGAAGATCTTATTCTCTGTCTGAATGAATCACATAATTAATAACTTCTAAGACCTCATCTCCAAACAACTGATTGGGACTTGGGGATTGTCTTTGTTACTTTTCTCTCGTTGCTGAGACAAAATACCCAACACCCAAAATGAAGGAAGGAAAGGTTTATTTAGCTCACAGTTTGTGGAGGTTTCGTTCGTAATCAGCTGGCTCCAATGCGGGGTGGAGTGGCAGAGGGTCAACACTTCAAGGAGGTAGAAGACAGCAGAACAAGAAGAACCAAAAGCAAACCTTGTATTGTAAGCAGACTACTGCCCTCAGGGGGGTGTGCACTCACCCCACTTCCCTGCCCTCCTCTTGCACAGCCTCAGGATGTTTACAAAATGAAGTCCTTGGCATCCTGCTGAGTCACTTGGTTCAACTTCTCAACAACCTAGAGTGGCAGCAGAGGTTATGTCCCCTGCACCCCAGGATGGAGGGCTGCTGACTCACTTAGTTAAGCTTCTAGACTTCTTAAGTTGACACAATGCATCAACCATAACAGGGAAGGTCTGCTCCTACTGTGTTTTGGAGTCTCTGGTCACAAATCACCCCAAGACTCTCCTGTTTTCTCTCCTACCACCCCCCTCTCCGGCCCCATGGAGACCTCCAGGTCCCGGCCTTTGCCCACACCCACCACGTCCTGCTGCTCCCCTCATTCCCCACTACCCAGTTTCTCATCTGGGCTCTCACTTCCCTCTGCCTTCCTCCCCTGGCGTCTCCCCTCCCAGGAAAACCAAGCTCAGATCAGCGCTACCCTGAGCCCGGCCTTTTATTCAACTTGGGCTTCCAAGCACCACCCAGGAAAGTGAACCACGGCTCCATGGCTTGATGCTTTCCTAGTGTCCAACCAGTCGGGCTCCCTGGGCAGGGTCCTTCTTCCTCTGAGACCGCGGCTACTTCAGGCTTCCCCAATTCCCACAAGGTGTTCCCTTTAGCAAAGGCCTTTGCCAACCACTCCACTGGAAAAAGACAACTGGAAGCCATTAGGTCCCCCCTCCAAATTTCTGTTCCCACCAAAAATGCATCTGTACCCACCGCCATGATCGCAGGCTCCTCCAGTGGACACGGGCTTTGTCCAGTGCAGGACAAACCTTTTCACTGATGCTCTGGTCTAGCCTCTACCAGCTCCTCCTGGACCTTCTTCCCCAGCCAAAGCTTTCACCCATCCCTCTGTTCATTCGTTCAGTCTTGGCAACCCAAGACCAACAAAACCTTTGGAGTCGTGATGTTTCCATTTATTTTCCCATTAAGGATGTGCATAGCACCAGCCTTGACAGGATCAGACTTATTCCAGGCTCATCTCATCATTTGCTTTGTTTTCAAGCTTCGGACCTTTGCTGGCATGAACTGGCAGCAGAAGGTTTGGCAGTTTAAATCTGTTAGCTCCAACGTGACCAAATTCTTGTCTGCTGACATGGGTAAAAAGCACCTGTTCGGGAGACTGTGGTTGCTTCCTCCTCTGCTCTAAGACTGACTGGTCCCTGCTGGGCACTGTTGCTTTCTCAGTGTCTTCTCTGCAGACCACAAAAGTGGTCAGCAAACACCTCCCCTTCCCTTCAGGCACCTGCCTCGGGAGCCTGGGGGCTGGGCCCGGGTACAGCGGGCAGAGCGGCGCAGGGCAGGACTCAGGGGGTTAGAGGTCTGGCTGCCCTCCATCCCACTTGGTCAACAGATTTGTCATTTCACCTCTTCATTTGCAAAATTCCATTCCAGGCTCCTGGTTGGCTTGAAGAATATTTTAAGGTTCTAATTCAAAATGTTCAAATATAGTTCTGGGCCATAACTGAGCAGGTTTATCAGGTGACCTGAAAAAACTGGTTACTAATTTAAAAACCCGTACTGATTAAAAAGAAACAAAACATCTGAGCACTCTTACGATGCATCTCTGGGCTGAGTGCGGTCAGAAAATGAGCCGTATTAAGTGTGTGACATACAGTAACGGGAAGTAGGCACCATACAATACTTCAATTATATCTTTGTTTCTTTACTGAAGAACAAGTATGGCTTAGCTATACGGACTTTGTGGGTAAAAATTCAGTTATATTTGTGGTGCTGTGTTTTGCAGTGTGTATCCACTAGGGAATGACAAGCCCGACGTGCACACACCTCAGACTTCTGTCCGTTACGGTGAGGACACCGACAGTCAGAGTCTTTGTGGCGTCTTTAAGTGTACCATAACCTGGGGCTGGGGATTTAGCTCAGCGGCATCAGCGCCTGATCTTGAGTTTGACCCTGGTACCGTACACCAGCGCTGGTGTGTCAGCATGTGACAGGAGAGGTCTCTTGAACTTATTTCTCCTCTTTAATTGAAATTTTGCACCCTTGGACCAGCATCTCCCCAAATCACTTCCTCCTCTTCAGTGTGTTTGGGGGCGGGCTCGGGTGCAAATGACAGAAATCTGAAAAACTGATTAAGAAGAAAAGGAAAGTTCCTGGTTGACATCGCTAAAAAGCTCAAGGCTGATGTGGCTTCTTAAAGATGGATTTGGGGACTGACTTTCTTCCTCCTCTTTTCTCTCCCCAACCCATTTCTCCTTTCTATCTCTGTCTCTGTCTCTCTCTCTGTCTCTCTCCCTGTCTCTCTCCCTGTCTCCCTGTGGTGACAAGATGACCACCAGCAATTCCAGATCTTAGCAGCTCAGTGGGAAGAGGGTTTGCCCTTTCCAATATTGAGGAAAAAACGGGAACAAGTATTTATCCCCACACCGATCCCCGTAGCCGGGATGGACCACATGTTCCCCTGGAGCTGGAGGGGTGCGGTTGTCCCCGAGAACCGACACTCCTCTGTCTTGATCTTTGGTTCTTTATGCCCCGATGAAGGAATTCAGTCAAGGCATCCAGGCTGTCAGAAGCATATGTAGAATTTTGTGCAATAGACATGGAGAGAATTATGCCTCCACGTGGGAAGGCAGGCAGTGGATGCATCTGCGTGGAAACATTGTACACACAGAAGACACTGAGGTCCAAGGAACTCGGGTGATTCTGATGCCTATCAGCACTTACTTAGAAGTTACTTCGGAACTGCGTGTCTTCCAGTCCATGTTAGGTGGTCGGCGTCTCCTCAGGGGGGTTTAAACATGTAAAAAACTTCAGGAAGAAATTTATGAAAGATAAATGCTTAATTTAAGCCAGGTCCCTGCCAAGGCAGGGGGACTTTAAACAGCATTTCCTTCCCTGGTATCAGCAAGCTACGGGCTGTGACAACCAGGAATGCAGCGTGCCTTGTTCTGGACGCGGACAGCCAGTTGGCTGGGTATCAGGGGGACGGTGCCCAAGGTTCAAATGTCGCAGAGCTGTGTGGGATCGCTTGGGGCTGAGGCCCAGCCAGTGACTGGAAATGCAGTAGACCTTGACGCGTCGGTTGCTTTAGTAACCAGCAGTGCACACTAATTTGGACACTGCTCCCTGCCTTTGGCTCATTAACGTCCACTTCCTGCCTGAACCGTTAGCCTGGCCCACCGTCTCCAGTTTCCTACGTTACCCTCAAACTCGGCAGGCTGGATCTTCTAAACCTGCTATCAGTGACCTCTCAGTCACCAACCGCAGGAATGTCTCCAGTGCCGTCTTGTTGGGCCTCTCCCACCACACCTGTGTCCTTCATCCATACGATTCAATTTATAATAAGCTGGGTTTGTATCACAATGATCAAAGTGAAAACACAGGGCAGAGGATTTAGCTCAGCGGCATAAGTGCCTGCCTGGCAAGCATGAGGTCGTGAGTTCAATCCCCAGTATTGAAAAAAAAAAGTGAAAACACAAACCTCCCCCTGTGTGAGGCAGCCCCTTCACTGACATTTATGTCGCTCTCTCCTGGACCTCCTTGGTCTTTCTGACAGTCCTTTGTGGCCTGCAGAAATGTTTTTAGACCCTGCCAGCCCCTTCCTTCTGTCCTGGTTTTTTTCACTTGCCCTGGTGCTCACCACTGGGCCTTTGCTTGTGCTAACCCTATCTAACCCTAGATTCCTGCCTCTCCGCTGCCTCACATCCTTTTCTGCACCCACTGCAACTCTCACATCCTACACAAAACTGCCCTGACCCGCATTCCTCTCACCCCAGCTGCATCAAATGCTTCTCCTCTGTGCTCCCATAATGCTCTGGTCCTGACTGTAGCTCATCACGTGATGCACCCATCGTACGTGTACACACCTGCATACGTGTGCTGTTCTCCATTCAAGGCAGGCGTCCCTTGAAACACAGAATGTTGTTCTGCTTACCTTGAATCTTCTACTTTTCATTTTTATTTTTTTTTGGTACTGGGAATCGAACTCACGACCATGCACTTGCAAGGCAGGCGCTTATACCGTTGAGCTATATCCCTGGCCGAATCTCCTACTGTTAACACAGTAAGCCGTGGGTCAGTGTGTCTGGGTATATTAGAGAATGTGTCACCGTCGTCCTGGGAAATTAGCCCGGTACAGTAACGTACGGTGACAAGCAATGTGTGACAGCGGGACACTCACAGTTACGCACCTCCGCTCTGCTTGCTGACTGAGAGATCACGGAGGCGCCTCCCTTTCTGAGATTAACTTTCCGCAGGGTTAAAGTGGGGATAATAATCTCCACCAGTCATATAGCTCTCATGACAATTCAAATGACTAAAAAAATGCAGTAAGGGCTTGTGGGAATCAAGGGCAAGGAGGCAGACACAAGGAGACACTGGAAGGCCAGCTTTGCTACCTGTGCCCTGGCCACGCCTGAGATTCCAGGCCCTCTGATGATACCTTCCTGCAGGCTTATGTGATGATTTTCTGAAACCACGCACGTCAAGAGCCTACCAGAAGGTCCAGGGCAGAAGCAAACCCTGACGAAAGGAAATACTGCGTCCTCCCAGGTCCCAGTCCTTTGAGCTCATCTCTACGTCCGAACACTCATCCTCCCACAGAAAACCACTGCCACATAGACTCACAGGGGCCGTTTATCCCAGCACTCATGTGGAGTCACCTGTTGCTGAAAATCTAGTTAAGATTTGCCCGAACCCCATTGCACGTTCCACGGAAGGCTGCTAAGCTTCCCCCGCATCAAGGTTTCTGTGTGCACCTGGGAGCTGAGTCCTCACAGCCGTCGCCAGCTCTGGTTCCCTGTCTTCCTGAAGTCTGGCTGTTCACGCTGCATCCTGGGATAGATCTCTTCTTTGTCACCTTCCTGATTTTGTCCTCAATCAATTTCCTTGAGCTCCAAAATGCAAAACAAAAACACATAAACTAAAAGACTCTCCCAATGGCAAAGGCAGTAAACATCTCACCAGCACAAGCCACTTGAGATTGGAGAATTGGTGCCTGTTAATAACGAGGAGCCCTCAGCCCTCAGGAGCTCACCCCATAGTGCGAACAGCTGGGCTCGCAGGCCTGCTGCAATACTGGAGGATGCCCACCAGGGGGTACCATGAGAAGCCATTGGGGCTGTTTCAGCAGGAGCTTCTAGGAGGGAGGACTCTTGCTGGGAGTTAAGAGGAGGCTTCCCAAGAGTAAGATTCTGCTCTGCATTACATGCTGGCAGGAAAGGCAAGTAATTCCATGACTGGGTATCTCAACCACTCTGGTGAGGTTAGGGGTCAGCAGTGACCAGTGTGGCTAGGGCAGCAGGGCAGGTGACAGCGGTTCACTGTCCCTTTTAGTGTCTGCTCTTGGACGTGAGTGTGTAGTGCTCTGGCTTTTGTCTTGGTCTATCACGGTCACACGGCAATAGCAGCGGCATCCGTGACGCTGTTCATGATCCAGAGGACGTACCATGCCCTCCCTGAGCACGCCAGGCCAGCTCTCAGACTCCAGCTCCTTCGCGTCTCTTTCCTGGTCTCAAAAACTCTTTGGGAGCATTTGCTTGGCACTGGATCATGCCCAGGCTCCCCTCTTCTCCACCCTCTGCCCTGGGTCTCCCCACGGTCAGGTCAGCTCTCGGCAGCCCTGCCTGATCCCACCCCGCGGGCTTTCTCTGTGCACACTGAAGAACCAGGTGGCCCCCCTGCCTCTACTGTCCTCCCAGGGCCTCCAGAGACATTGCCACCTCTCCCCCTGGACACTGCACCTCCTGCCCCTGCCCTCCGCCTTCCAGTGGTGGCTTGGGTAGTGTGGGTTTCCAGCAGTAGTTTCTCCTACTGTTTAGAGTCATGTGTAGTTTACTGACCCTTCTGAGAGTGTCACCAGTAGCTAGTTTTGTCGTAAACACACCGCAGAGTGTGTGTACTGCATAAATCCAGAAGGTCTAGGTCAGCCACTCGAGCTGGCCTTTTGAGCCGGCACTCAAGAGGCTCAGTAAACATGACTTGTGAGGGCTGCTGGCTTCATGGAGCACACTTCTTTCCAGTAATATCATATAAAGAGTACTCTAAAATACAATAAAAATATAGCACAGTGAATACATAAAGAAGTAGCATTATTAGGCATCATATGTGCCATGAATCCAGCTGTCTATGCTCTATTTTTATTCAACTGGACCGCCACAGTGGTTTATCACTGGCGTCACCATGCTGTGTGGTGATGTGGTACTTAAAGCCTTACAATGGCTGTGACACCAGTCGGTAAGAGGGGTTTTCCAGCCCCGTTATAACCTGAGGGGACCACTGTCATGTGTGCATTCTGCTGTGGACCGAACCGTGGCCATAAGGCACATTGCTGTGTGTTCTATCTCTGCAGAGTGCAGGGGTCAATTCCTGCAGCTCCAAGTTCACCATTGACAGTAGGCATGGCGGCAGCTTCCCACGCCTAAGTGTCCTGGGGTCATGGAGAGCAAAGACAGCAGCTGCCTCTGGTCCAGCAAGTGAGCTTTTGCCACACCTCCTCCCTTTCTTCCCTCTCTGCCCTCTGCAGATCTTCAGTGACCTGAGCCAGGACTGTGTAGAGGACATTTTCCTTACTGAGCTGAAAGTGAAGGTCCAGGACTGCAAATCCCCCAAACGTGAGCATCTGCCATCCTTTCCCGGAGTTCCCCTGGCTGGGCCCCCCTGAACTCCTCCCCCCACCTCTCACCTGGCGATGCCCCCCTGGTCCACACCTGCCCTGTCCTGTACCTCTGCTGCCCGCGGCTCCTTCCAAGCTCCAGCTGACTGAAAGTCACCTGGTCTGCATAGGGTGCTGCTGTCTCTCCGTCCAGGATGAGCTGCTGGACAGACAGACCACTGGCTCCACTCGAGCCTGAGTGAAGGGGAGTCAGGGGGGACTGGGGGACCCCCATCTCAAGCCTCTTCCTTCTTCCCTCAGTGGGCAGTTCGCCACGAAGGAGAGGGGTCACAGGTGCTGAGAGCCCAGGTGCTGAGCTTTCCATCTGCTACCAGAAGGTCAGTGTGCACGGACATGGCCAGGAGGTGACCAAAGGCACAGCTGATGGAAGCTGGCCTCTGGGACATACGGGCATGGGAGGGGCCGCGGGAGCCAAATGAGGCTTCTTGAAGCTGCCACCAGGTTTCTCCACCTTTGGAAGATTTTGCAGAGATGGGGTAGGAGTGACCTTGTATGCAGGCAAGGTGAGGGACAAGAGGGTCATCTGCTCGCTGGCCAGATACCTGAACTGACCTCACTGGACACTTGCTCCTTTGGGACTGGAGGGCAGCCATGCCCTCTGGGTAGAATATTCTCAGGCCTTTCCACAGGCCCTCGTTGGAAGCAGTGACACAGGCGAGGATCTCAGGGCAGAGGCAGGAAGGGAGACTGGGAATGGGGAATCTGTGGGGCGAACGCGTCCTGAGGACCTCACCTGCTCCCCCCTTCCCCTCCCTAGGCTCTGCTCAGCCACCGGCCCCGAGAGGTCACTGTCTCCCTGAGGGCCACCGGGCTGGTCCTGAAGGCCATTCCAGACAGTGACACTGAAGGTGAGGAGCTGGGAATTAGAGCAGATGGGAATAAGAAGGGGAAGAGAGGGCTAAGGGGGGCTCACCGCATCCCCACCGTCCCAGAACCTGGGCTTGTGTGTGCCGAGCCCCGCGCTGGCCTGGCTGTGTGTGGTCCCCAAGCTCAGGTGGCTGTCAAGGAACCGAACCTCTAGCTCAGGACCCGGGACTCGGCCTCTGCAGCTGGGGAAGGTGGAGGGGCCTGGTGTGGGGAAGTCCTGCTCAGCACTGCGCCTGAGGGCTGGGTGCACTCTGTTTAGAAGATTTGGGTTTTCAATGTCTTCCCCCTAAAATATCAATTTATATGCAAGTCGTAATTTATAAATATTTGCTGTCACTGTGAGATTGCTGGTGTCTTGGATAAAGAGAAGGATTGGCTGGGTATGATTATGCAAGGCTGTAATCCCAGCACTTGGGAGGCTGATGCAGGAAGGCTGATGTGAGTTGGAGGCCAGCCTGGCTCCACAGTGAGCTCCAGGCCTGAGCTATAGAGTGACACCCTATCTCAAACCAAACCAAAGAGAAGGATGGCAGTGAGCATTAGTAACCGGTGCTGGCATTGGGCAGGGGCCAGATGGTGCTCTGCGTTAAACCTCCGAACTCCCTGGAGCATGCGAACCTCACGGAATAGTATTACTAGCAGTCGTATTTTAACTGGAGATCGAGGCAAAGAAAAATAACTTCCCCAAAGTCACGTCTGGGAGAGGAAGCCAGAAGGAGAGCCTCACACTTACTGCCTGCACTGCCTACCTGAATGAATCTGGAATATTCCAGAAGAAGCAGAGCAGAATGTGCACTGTGGCTACAATGCCGATGAGGAAGCTGGCTCTAACCCTTCCTCTCCTGTCCAACATCCGGGGTGACTCTGTCGCTGAGATGCTCTGTGGCTTGGCCAGCATTCACAGGACCCCTGTCTGTTGGCAATACATTTGTGTTCTTTGGTGTTGTCCTTTTGTTTGTGTTTTATGAGCCAGGGTGTCTCTAAGGCTTGCTGCACACTGACCCAGCCGCCCCACTCACCAGCTGAGGTCACAAGGCTGCAAGGTGGTGCCCGGCTGCAAGGTGGTGCCCAGCTGCAAGGTGCTCTTCTAAGGGCATTGCAGCTCCTCCATTATCTTGACATCTAGCACAAAGAAGAAACTCAAAACCACTTCCTTATAAAATTACTTACAGATGAGTTGAATTTTGGGATGACATAGGAAATGTCTTTAACACCGTGAAGGAGACAAGTAATTTTGTCATTGGCTCAGGACCCGCAGACGGTCATAATGCAGTGGGTCAAGAGGGCAGGTTGCAGGTTCGGAGGGGCGGGATTGGAGCCTCAGCTTTGTCACTTGCCTTCTGTGTGACCTTGGCCAAGTTGCCTGTGACCTCTCTTCTTCTATTTAACTTCTAACGTAGAGATAATTAATTTGCATGCATATAGTAAACTGTAAATGTGAAGTCTTAAAACTACCTTCTGTTCCCTTTGCAAACCCCATCAGGACTGGTCTGGAGATTCCAGAACCTTTCTTAGAGGCCCTCTTCAGTTGGCAGGGAGATGAGGGAGGGTTCAGCCTGGCAGTTGTCACACAAGCATGACCTTTGAGGCATCAGGCCCTGTTCAGAAAGTCTAAACCCTCTGCACCCTGGCACTAATGCTTCCCTAGTCTGAGGCCTGAGCTCGGTGGTCCACAGAGAAACTCAACAGAACCTTCTTCTTTAAAAGAGAACCACAGAGGAATGGAAAATGGGCAGGGGATCAGGGTTTGGGATGCTGACAGCTGAAACCTCCTTCACCCTCCCCAGGGAGGGGCGATGGTGACCAGGGACCCAGCTGGAGCAAGGCAGCATGGGAAGAGTGTAGGGGGCCAAACTGGAGGGGAGCAGGCAAGCCAGGCTCGCGGTGGTCTCCTTAGATCCCCTCCTCCCCAGAGACCGTTCCGAGACCCTTTCTCATTCGGTTACAGGGTCCCCCGACTGTCTCCCAGCTGCTGCTCCTGTTACGACTCACACGTGTCTGAATGTCAGCGTGACAGAGGTCGTCAAGTCTTCCAACCTGGCAGGAAGGTCCTTTTCTGTAAGTCCTGGGTGGAGCAGAGACGGGGGCCAGTCAAACAGGGCCTGGGGAGGTGGCCGGGAGTCCCAGGGGAGGGTATTCAAAGAAGGGGGGCTGACCGCTGAGCTTTCTGCTCAAGGGGGGCTTCCCACCAGAAGGAATTTGCTCTCCCATCTGTGTGCTTAAAACACTGAGTAGCAGCCAGAACAAGGAAGGCCCGCCCTGTCTACCTGCTGCTGAGACAGAGAACCGCACGGTGGGCTCATGGCAGCCATCCCCAGGCACGCACAGCGGCCGGACTGTCACGCAGCCCAGCCCAGCCCAGCTGCCCCGATGGCTGCCTCCTTCCCCTGGCCCTGCCCCGATTGGTACGTCCTGATCATGTCACGAGACCCACCCACTTTCTCCCCATCTGACGGCTCTCTGGACGGCACTCTCCTCAGCTGGACCCGAGAGGCCTCTGGTTATTTGTGAGCTGTGTTCTGACGCCCCGACTCCCATGCACCCTGGCTCTGGACCAAGCTGCCTTGTGACCTCTCAGCTCGTACAGACCCCCACTGTCCCTCAGGGCCATCTCACAGTCTCCTGGGCTCTTCTCGTCTGCTTGGTATTCTCCTTTCTCTGGCTTTGACTTCACCCTCTCTGCTGATTCTTCCTCTTAGCCCACCGGCGTGCTCAGGTCTTCTCCAGCCCCAAAAAAGTGGGGGGATGGTCTTACATGTTGATCAGGAAGTATCAAAAACTCCACAGCAGCTGTGCCGTGACCGTTTCCCTCTGCCCGGCAAGCTTCGCACAGATGCCTCCAGAGTGACTGCCCTGCCCGCAGTCTGATTTCAGTGACCCCCACTGCAGTAGGGTCACCCCCACATTGCCAAGACCAACAGTCATTTCTTAGTCCTTCTAATCCTTTGGCCCTTTTTCAAGATGCTATTTGAAACTATACACAAAAGTTCCATCGTTTATTTGAGGAAATACAAAGTAAGTTCACTGCCAACTTCATTACTTGGTCAGGATAAATATTACCATTTTCAGGAATAAAATCCTGCCTTTTTCCTATATATTTTTACATAACTGACAATGACTATATGTAAAAGTTTGTAGTGATGTCCATATGTATTGATGGGCTCTTGTTAATGTCATGTGTTTTGTGTCACTAAATATAATTCATTAAATACTTATTGTATGAGACCAGGAATGGTGGCATAGGCCTGCAATTCCAGCGTTGAGGAGGCTGAGGCAGGAGGATCGCTGTGAGTTCGACAGCAGCTTGGGCTACAAAGTGAGTTCAAGGCCAGCCCGAACTGCATAGTAAAACTCTGTCTCAAAAAGACAAAAAAAAATTATTGTATGATAGTTGCACGTGCCTTATAATTATTTCAGTGATGGTAAGCACACCAAGAAGTGTTAAACACATGCTAAAAATCATGGTTTCACTTTTTTTAGAAATGCCTAGAGTTTTAATCATTCCAAAGGTGTTCATATAGCAGCAAGACTTTTCACGTATTTTCCAAGTTGTCCTTCCAAGTTCGGTTCTTATGGCAGTACAATTAATATATTAGTCAACACAATTGTCAGGCTCTTTTATTTTAATTGGCCTTTCCACCATTACCAAGTAGTGAAGGTCTTTATTTTATAACTGATTTATGTGATTACATTGTCCGTAATAATTACTAGTGTAATGTTTCTGTGTTTTAGCTTTTCTGACCTCGACAGTCATGTGAGTCCTTGTATGTTTCCTCCATTATGAGACCTATTTTTGGCTCTTTGCATGTTTGTGGGAAACCTTGGTGCACAGACCATCCTTCTCGAGAAGTCAGTATTTGTGTTTTCCAAGTGCTCCAGTGATGTCAACACGATATTTACTTGCAGAAGATAGAGATGGAGTGAATGTGTACCCCAAATCCACACCTGGACAGGCCTGGTGATTTCCAGGAAAGACCTTTCCTCTTCTCTCATGGTACAAGCCAAAGCAGACAGCCGCCCTGCGCGCTTCTGTGTCCGCTGGGAGTCTTCCTGCTGGCCTAGTCCTTGACTGGGAAGGTAACTGCGGAGGGACCTTGAAGGGAACCTCAGCTTCAAACCACTCTTCACGTGGGCCGGAGGCCTCGTCTGCCACCCCCACGGCTGTCCTGCCCGGAGCCCCTGATTTCTGAGGTCAGCAAATGTCTCTGGGAGAGCTAGAGCATCTGACTTACTTAGCTCTGACTTCTTTGGACATATTGACCTTTTCTTCACTGCCTGGTACACAGTGAACTTTTTAATACCCTGTCTTCTATGTGTAGAAGGCAAAGTATGATGTTTATTAAATCAAGCACATTGTATCATTATGATCTACACATTTTTAAAATCTCTTTAAAATCCATTTCGTCTTTCCAAAAGGTTTGTCAGCGTTCTCATCTTGGTTCTGAGTTTGTTGACTGCCTTTCAATTTCTTGGAACCTAGATTTTCTTCTAGCTTTGCTGTTGCAAAATATGATGGCTTCTCACATCCAGTCTGTGTTTACAAAGGCACGTTTTATTGAATTTTTTGAATATTTATTGAATAGTTTGGTAGCCACTCCTGGTCTGCAGACTGGTATCTTTCAGTTCTGAGATGTACACCCTAATACAGTGTTTAAAATAATTTCTTTCTCTCTGTTTCTTTGCTGTCTCTTTCTGAAACCACAAACAGGCGGTGTTAAGTCCTTCTGCAGGATGCTCTCATCTTCCCATCGCTTCTCTTCCATCCTCCTTTTGTTTGTTGTTTCTTTGACTTTGGAGAGTTTACTTCCGATTCATTTATTAAGCCTTCAGACTTTCAGCAATCTTTCTTGTTTTCTGGTTATTAATTTTCAGTAGGACTCTGCCTGCTTCGTGGTATTTTATCTTTCTGAAGATACAGTGGTTCATTGCAAAATTTCTTCTGCTCCCTGAGAGGTGTCTGTTTCCTCTGAATTCCTGTTTGCTTGTTGTGTGCATTCTCTGTCTGTCTCTCTCTGTCTCTGTCTCTCTCCAAATATCTGGTGACCCACGGCTGTTTGTTCAAATTCACGAGTGAGGCACTAAAAACCCCAAGTCAACGGTGAGCTCCTCTGTGGGTATTCTGGTGCCCAGGGGCCTTCCCACAGTTGTATTTCCTCTTTCTGAGTTGGTTCCTTACACTTCTGTTTTTAATGACCTCTTTAAGCATCCTGGTCAGGAGCTTTTCGAACTTACATGCTTGTTATAGCTGCAGGGACTTCCCTTTGCCCCTGCACTGACCTGCTGGGGTGGGTGGGGACGCAGGAGCTGTGCTTTCCTCCTGGAGCCTAGCAGGTCCTTGTTCACGTTCTCTCCAAATGGATCAGAGGATAAACCCAGGGGCAGTTCACGGTGATCTGGGACAAGGGTGTTTCCAGTTTGGAGAGTGGCTGGTGAGGGCCTTGCGGCTGACCTGGTGAGGTTAGAGCTCGGCAAAGGTATGACTGGGTGGCCTGGAAGCTTGGTGTAGAACAAGGATGATAAACAAGGCAAGGACAGAGGAGTTGGACCTCTAGGAGGCAGAAAGCTGCCAAGAGAGAACAGGAGGCAGCTGGCAGCATTTGCCCATCCCCTCATCTTGTGGAGAGCTGTGCCCTTGGCAAATTCTGCAGCTGGCCCTCTCTGCTGGCCTCCACAGTGGCATTTGTTGACTGTAAGTTAGACTCCTGTCAGTTCAGAGCCCAAGAGAGGTAGGATGTGTCTAAGTCTGCAGACGACAATGGGGGAAAAAAAGACATCTGTATGTACTGCATGTGGGTAGGAGGGGGCCCCAAGAATGCAGCTAATCTAGATAATTAGAGCAGGGCCAGGTCCTGCCAGAAACACCCCCAGCCACCTGATGTAGGGCAAATAGCACAGAGTTGGGAGTCCGCAAGCCAGGCCCCACATCTGCCACTGTGCAACCTTCGGTTGGTCCCATCCAGTCCCTCCTGGCCTCAGCCTTCTTACCTGCAGGAACCCCGATTCCCTCACCAGGTGCACTGAGGTGCCACGAACTGAATGTCTGGTTTCCCCCAGGCCTCAGCTCATGCAGGACCATATTTCTTGCAGTTATTTTTTTCCATATTTTTTCCAGTTATTTCTAGAAGGTTCCTTACTGATGATATTAGAGTGTTATCATGTGGAGGATTTCAGGGGAGTTGTTTCTAGGTTCTTGGGATCCTGTGCAAAGAACTGAGCAGGACACACACTCGAAGTGAGTAACCAGAATAAGATTTATTCAAATCAAAGGAAGCAGAGAAGTATCATGGTGTCCAAAGCCAGGGGCCTATACTTTTGGTTTTCCTTCTGCTTGGGGGTCTTGGGGGGCAGGTGCACAGGAAACTCCTTACCTGTTCGTTTCCTGACATTCTAACTGATCTTGCTCTGTCTGGCTTCTTAATTCTCTCCCCCATCACGTTTCACTGTTTGCTTGTCCTTGCTCCATTGCCTACCTCCTATGTTGACAATTCTCTGGTTAGCTGTCCAGTTAGTGCCCACTAGGCTCCACTGTCTGTCCTCTGCCCAATCTGCCCTTGGATAAGGGCTCCAGGGTGCCACAGATGTTGTCCACCACTTCTAGTGCACATCCGGGATTCCCCCAGCCCCTCATCATCCTCTGCCGTGGGGCTCCCCTGCCCTATGGATTGTGTGTTTACTCACAACCCACCTGTTCAGATTTACACGTGTATGGCAGTGAAGGGGCTTAGCCTAGGAAACAAACCAAAGACAGAAAAATCCACAGTGGCTCTCCTCCCTCTTTGGCAACTGAAGCCACTATTTATGCTTGACTCCTTCTTGGAAATTATAGTTAATATAATAAACAATCAACATTGGTACATCTCTAACTATGTCTCAGGTGCTGTTCTAAGCACTTAAAATCCACTATCTCATTTCATCTTCACAGCAGTCCTACAAGGTAGCTGCTTTTATTACTGTGGTGGTTTTTTCCTAAATAGCACAAAGTAAGAAATATGCTCCAAAGCACGTAGCCAGTAAATGCAGAGCCAGGATGAAACCCTAGGCAGCCCAGCCTAGAGATTGCTTTTGACCTTTCTCCCAGGACATTCTCCACACTGTGCTCACAGAATGCTCTCTACCCTACTCCGCCTCCACAAGAGTCCAACAACAGTCCTAACATGCATGGTACCTTCCTCAGCCAAGGTTGAATTTGCTGCCATTATCTGTGATGAAACAATAGACTGACCCGGTGGTTCTCAGTCCTACCTGCTGAGCTCCAGGCTACTTAAGTCAGAATGCCTAATTTCATGTGTGAGTCTCATAAGCAGTCAAGGTTGAGAACACTTGAGTGAAACACACTGCAAGGCCTCCTGCAACTCTAGAGTTCTGTGGCTGTTAATTTCTCAAAGATGCTGCCTGTGTGAGTCAGAGTGAGTGAGTCAAAGATGCAGAAAGGTCCTTTCCAAGCCCTGCAGAGCACCCACGATGCCCTTGGTCCCCTGACCCATTTTGTCGGGGGAGGGCCTTCTCCAGAGCAGCCTCTTCTGACTGGCAGTTAGAAGGATGGCTGTGGGCTGCTTTCTTCTGGCCTAGTCTTTAGTTTGGGGATACTCAGCTTTTTACCCCCTCTATCTGTGTCACAGGCAAATAATTTTATGTGCAATTTAATGCTCAGAATGGGGGTCAAGACTTATAAACCCTGGGAGTATTCCCAAGTCCCACACACGGAAATATGCGTGTCATATAGGAGATGCTTGGAAAAGTCTTGGAAAGTCTTCCAAGTCTTGGAAAAGACTTCTTGAATAAATCAACATCAAACCCAGACCCTGGCATGCACCAGCATAGCATTCAAGTCTGTGTAAATCTGAGGACAGCAGGTTGGGGAAACACTTTGGAAGCAATGTGAGATCCAAGAACAACTGGAGGGCAGTTGATACAGTGTGGTCACTGCCCAGAGTCACTCGCAGGAAGGTGGTTAGGGACCCTGTGGACTGGATGGAAGACACACGGGACAGAAGATCATGCTGGCAGAGCCGTCTGTTTAGCAAAGGTGATGCTTACATATTCATTCATTCTCTCTGCCTTCCTCCTGCTCTCCCTCCCTGTTGTAGACAGTGACAAACACCTTCCGCACCTCCAGCATCCAGATTCAGAGCCAGGACCAGAGGCTGCTGATGCTACTGCTCGACAAGGATGATCGGCGCACTTTCAGGGATGTGGTCAGGTAGGCTGAGCCCTGTGGGGCACACCTGAGCCAAAGCCAGCTCCTTCTAGCCCAAAGCACCTTGTCAGAGGTACAATGGGTAGCCACATGGGCATCCCTGGCGGACGGGGACTCAGGCCACTGCCCTGTCACTTGAACTCAGGAAGAAAAGGCAAACAAATAGCTGTACTAGGCAAAGACTGAGAGTAAATGTTCCCAAGATTCCTAGAGACAGACACATGCGGCCTGAAGCCCTCCTGATCCCACCCTCTTTGCTGGCACTGGCCCGTCCCACATGGGACACACACACACACACAGCATCTGTGCTCCAGTTCATGAGACAGTTTGGGTTTCTATCAATTCTGACATCATTCCCTTGCCCAAATAGACATCCTTTCCCCTCCTGATTCATCCTCTTCTTTCTGTGCGGCCCTCTCCCACATACTCTATGATGCTGAATGCTTTCAAATGTCCTGGGTGGAACTGATCCTTGAGGTAAGTGCCCTGAGCTTGTTTCTTCTCATCATAGATTTGAAGTGGGCCCGTGCCCAGAGCCGTGTTCGAGGACCCAGAAGTCCAAGATGTCATGCCTCAACTCATATGGACAGAAGGAGATGGAAACAACCCAAGCTACATCCAAACCCCTTCTAATGCCCATCAATACATTCTCCGGTATCATCCAGTGAGCCCACCGGGATAGCTGGACCCAAGGGTAGCGGGTCCAAGAGGAATGAAATACTACCCCACAAAACCCCTGACACTCACACTGACAGCCAGAGCAAGCTCAGTCCACGGGGCGTCTCTGGCTTTGCCTAGGAGACAGCGAGAGCCTGGGAGCCCAGGGAGCCTGGCTGTGCAGGTGGTGAGAGAGGAGGACCCATATCAAGGCCGGAAGATCACACAGGCAAAGCAGTGGCTCCATGAGAGATGCACACAGCCCCCCTCCTCCCAACAACGCCCACCCCATGTTTGTTTTCCACACTCACTCTGCCGGCTGTCTTGGCCCACTTGAACTCCCCACCCAGCCCTTAAAACCAAGGTCAGAGCTGCTGTGCAGCCAGAGTCCTGGGCCGAGGAGAAAGAAATAAAGACCATGGCACCTGCTCCCTCCCACCCCACCAGGGACTCTCCCAGTGCAGAGAATATCACAGTCAATAAATGCACACTAATGTGTCTCTGTTCTCATCCAATACTGGATACGTTTATATTTTAACAGAAAACGCGTAGCCATTCTTAATACAGCCCAGTGAATCTTTGTGAGTCCGATAATGATTTTGTGAAGTACTAACTGCTGTGTAGTTTCTCGCTATACCTTCTTTTCCTCATTCCCTTTAACTTAGGGATCCAGCTGTTCAGCACTGTCCTCAAATAGGTTGGAGATGCAGGGTAGTTTCAAGGATGCAAAACTTGAAGACATCACAGTTCTTGGCACCTAAGTTTAAGAACTTGTATCCAGGTGTAAAACAGGAACAATTATAACCCAGCTCTAGGGTTTTGAGGCCAGCTGTAAGGCTAGGTATTGGACAGGGTGAGAAAGTAACTGAACACAAAGACCTGGGCTTAAGCCTATCTGTGTTACCTGGACAGAGTCCCCTAGGGTGGCAGCTGTGGGCAGAGGTGGTAAATTCTTTTAAGGTTTGGGAACCCAAGGGTAAAGAGGTAGGTACTTCACGCTTGGCTTCATTGTCCCATGGAGTTGGAAACAAGTCTCACATTCCCAATGCCCTGAAGGAGCGTGTAAGAAGCATGCCCAGGGCACTTGGAAAGACAATTTAAGGGTACCCTTGAGGAAGTCAAGCAGTGAAGGTTTTCCAAGACAGCCAGCAGCAGCAAGTCCATCAGGTCTCAGATGATAAAGGGTGTAGCTGTGGACAGCAGTGTGGAACATGGCATCTGAAGTCCAGTTGTGGACCTGGTAAACAGCATCACAGTGAGTGCCTGCCACCTAGTGCAGATGAGTCCAGGGCAGGTGAAGATGTGGGCGGATGCTGCAAGCTCCACTGAAGTTTCCGGATGCAGGACCAGGGGAGGAAAGGGACGGAGATAGTCCTCACTGTGGCCGAGGTGTGTCTGACCTTTAAAGGATTACAGTGAGTACAGTATCGCTGCATCTGTGTGAGCCTACCTGGAAGTGTCTAGTTTTTGTTGCTTCCGCATTGAGGTGATGTAAACTGATTCGTATTAATCTGAGCATTCATGATCCTTAAGTTTTAAAGTAAATATTTGCAGAGTTTGCCAGCTTTTCAGGTGAGGTGAGGGCTCTGGGGCTCTTTCTTTTTTTTTTTTTTTTTTTTTTTTTTTTTTTTTTCGTCTTTTTCCTTTTTATCGGTACCAGGGATCGAACTCACGACTGCCTGCTTGCAAGGCAGGCGCTTATGCCGCTGAGCTAAACCCCCCAGCCCCTCTGGGGCTCTTTCATAACTACCTTTCTACCAGCTTACAAAGAAAGCAAATCTTAAATCAAATCCCAATACACAGGCAGGTATTAGCAAGCTGCCCCTCTTTGCCCCACCTGAATGAGGTACACTGAGCAAACCTTGCATGAGTTTGCTGAATTGGTGCCTGGTTACTAGGCCATTTTGAAGCAAAGCCTAAAGGTCCAAAGGGTTTTGGCTGCTGGAATCTCTAGATTCTTTTTTTTTTTTTTTGAATAATTCTTTTTATTTCATGAAAAAATACATTCAAAACAGAATTATAAGAGACTAACAATAGTTATGCTGTGTATCATTATCCTCAAGCAGTTACTCAGAGTAGAGTGTTATATCCTATTTAAGTCAGAGAGGAAATACCTCGAAAAAATTTGCCTCTGGTCCACATGACTTAGACATCAGTAATTTCACCAGTGAAAAACATTATGTTAGCAAACAGAGCCACTTCTGCTGTTGAAGTGCTGCCTCTGAAGTGTTTGGGGGGGTTTTGGGGGACAGGGTCTTGCTATTTAGCCCAGGCTGGCCTTGCAGTCTCGAGCCACCTGGCTCAGTCTCCTGTCAGGATAACGGTAGTAGGCCACTGTTCTGGACTCCAGCCAATCACCTACACAGGTGCAACTTACACCCCAGAAGCGCAGCTTAGGCCTATCCAGTACACAGGTGCTGTCCAAGGCTGTGATGTGCTGCCAGGCCTGGACCTGACTGTCCTCCGCTGTCAGTGCTCTTTAGAGATCGTTCTGGCTGCAGAAAACTGTGTCACTCCAGGTCATGCCTCTACCTTGGAAATTTTCCACGCAGTGTAACAGTTCTAGGACCTGGGAACTAAAATACTTGCTCTCCGGAAGCTCTGATTCGGATGAAAACACAATAAACGAGGTAACTACATGAAATATAAATGTAGCGCCTTCAGTATAGTACTGCGGAGAAAATGTTGAGGAGGGAGAGTGTGTCTTGAGGATGGATTAGCAGTTTGTCCTGGGGTGGATAGGGATGCTCTCCAGGAGGCGGTACTGAGTAAAGACCTGAAGACATGCTTGCTCCCCGAACTCCGACGCTGACCCATACAGTTTTATTTACCTGAGTCCAAGGCTCACAGGTCAGGGATTTAGCCCGGACTTCTGGGTGACATGGGGCAGCCGGGGGTGGGGCGAAACCTGTGGCCCAGCCTGAGCGCTTCCCGCAGGCCGGGACGTGCACCTGCGCACAGCCGCGCACACCAGGCAGGTGCAGCGGCTGAAACTTCAGGACGCGGCAGGTGCGGCTGCAGGTGTGCGGTCCCGCCTCTGCAGCACCGCCCCCTCGGGGCGGGGTCACTTCCGGGCCAGTGGCCGGACATGGGCGGCGGTTTACCGGGTGACCGCGGCGCTGCCCGAGGCCAGAGACGGAGTCCAGCTACTGTGAGCCGAGATTCCTCGAGCCTCTCCCGGGGACATGGGGGCGCGCCCTGCCTGGTCTCCGCCACGCTCGCCTTGCGCCCGGGTCTGACGGAGCTGGGCAGCCATGAGCGCCAACCCCCAGTGGGACATCAGTAGGGCGCTGGGGGTGGCCAGGCTCTTCCATCTGCTGTGTGGGGTCCGGGATGCCTGCGCGGCCCCGTTCCTGACGCTCTACCTGAGGCAGCTGGGCTTGGCCGCGCCCTGGGTGGGCATCCTAATGGGAAGTAAGTTCCTAGTGGCAGCCTGCTGGGGTCCCTTGTGTGCCTTCCTGGCCAAAAGCTGCCAGAAAAGGAGAGTGTTTCTGGTAGGCTCGCTGCTGGGCTCGGCGGGAGCCAGCCTGTTGATGGTCCTGGTCCCTCCGCTGCACAGGGACCACCGCTCTTGCAATGGAAGCGGCAGCGCGGCCACCACAGTCCTACCACCAGCTGTCACGCTCACTGTGACCTCAGCTCACCCTGCAGGGCTGCCCAGCCTCCCAGCCAGGAGGAGGAGGTCGGGAGGTTCGGAGGCCTCTGACTTCACAGTTGGACCTGCAGAAAGTGATCAGGAAACTTTGGAGGGGCTGCGTTTAGTGAGCTCCCTTGAAGGAGCTGGGACCACACCCCGAGTTCTGCGACCCATCACTTCGGGAGAGACAGACAGTTTCGGGGCAGGTGCTTCTGAGGCGGTTGATCCTGCCCTCCTGCTTCCTCAGGACGCTACGCTGGGCGGTCCAGCCAATGTGTCAGAGGTCAAGGGGGAAGCCGGGTCCCTTGAGCTCTCCTCAGAAGGACTGCAGTGGACTATCCTCCTCGCCTTTGGCTTCATGGTTGTCTGGGAACTGCTGACAGCCCCTCTGGAGCAGGTGGCCAGCGATAGCCTTTATGAATACCTGGATTTTGTGGACGCCACTGACCGGTACAGAAGTCTGGGGCTCTGGAGATTACTGGGCATGGTGGCAGGTGTATGTGGCATCGCAGCCTTGATGGGGCAGTTGGACTGCTTCCTGACTGCAAGTGGCACTCAGGGTGTGGTGTGCTTTTATGGCTACTCACTGGTCAGCACTGTGTGCTTTCTGGTGAGCACTGTGTTTCCTGTCCCCACCTACCAGCAGCAGGAGCCTGGCTACAAAACCATCAAAGCACTGTCTCTCCTAGGGGGTGACCCCCACCTCCTCCTCCTGGCCCTCACTGTTGTTTTGATAGGAATTGTCACCAGTGCGGTGCAGAACTTTCTTTTCTGGCACATGGAGGACCACGGCAGCAGTGCACTGGTCATGGGCTTCTCGGTGGCTCTCGGCTTGCTGGGGGAAATTTTGCTCCACCCATTTAAAACTGTGCTGCTTCGGAAACTGTCTAGGGTGGGTGCAGTGGGACTGGGCTTGGGGTGCCTCGCCGGGCAGCTGCTGTATTACTCTTTCCTCTGGAGCTGGTGGTCGGTCTTCCCTATTCAGATCCTGAGTGCCATCAGCTCTGGGGTTCTGTGGTGGGCTGTGGAAGCCTCCATGGAGAGCCTGGCCACTCCTGGCACGGAGAGGCCTCTGAGTACCGTGTTCCGAGGCCACTTCCACGGGGGTGGCTGCAGCCTGGGCAGTTTTATGGGGGGTTTCCTGGTGATGCGCTTCAACCTGGCTGTGTTCTACCGCATCTGCTGTGTGATCCTGTTGCTCTGGCTGTCTGTGTTCCTGTCCATCCAGCCCAGGCTGCCCCAAGAGCGGAAGATCAACTATTCCAAGCTGCTGGCCGTGGAAGAGAGTGATACCAGCGACTCTGAGCCAGGGTCAGAAAGGGACTGGCTGGTGAAGGCCATGAGGGAGGAGCCCTCAGACTGCAGAGGCTGAGAGAAGGTTAGGGAAGGAACTGATGGGTTGGACAAAATTTACTTTGTTGAGGACAGAATCCCATCTGAGTTGCAAGGACCTTGGGGGGAGAGATGGCGCTTCCATGCTGAAGCTATAATTCTCTGTACTTTTCTAGTGAAAGGTGATCTGACTTTTTTTGTCATTAAATCATTTTAAAATAATGGAGAAAGATTGTATCTGCTTTTTAAAAAAAAAAAAAAAAGTACCTTTGTGTTCCTTATTTTGATATTGGTGTGTGATCTAGCAAAGGCTGGTGCCCGGAAAGTGGGGAGGACTTGCGGGATGCAGTGGCGGAGAGGGGAGCTGTCTGGGATGAGTTGTGAGCATTTTCATGGGTCGTAGAGGCAGAAGCCTGATGGGATAAAAGCCATGCTGAATCAGTGGAATAGCAGTGAACCCCTTAACTCCTCTCTCTCTCCAAAGATGGGCAGGAGCTGTGCTCACACTCAAGAACTCAAGTTTGCAATGAAAGAAAATGATGATGGCCCATGTCCTGTGTGCTGGGAAGCTCATGGCTTTCATTCTTGTGCTCAAATATATTTGTCACCAGGGAAAAAATCCTCAGACTCATCATCCATATTTACAGCAGAGCTGGGGTGGTTTCACGCCCTTTGGACCCACGCTTTGCATACTGTACCTCCCAAAGTCACAATGGAGATTGTAGCATCTGCTTGTAGGATGTGGCAGTCTTCAGAGTATGGGCCACAGCCACTGTTCGTGTGCCCAGCCACATCCACAGAACCCTCCTTGTACCCCAGAGAAAGGTCCTTTATGTCAGAGGCTGGTTCCCCAAGGCCGATTCTTCTTCCTGATAAGTAAACGGGACATTGAACTCAGAAGGAGCCTCGCTTGCAAATGAATGGTTTAGTGGAGATGTTCCCGTGGACAAGGACATAAAGAAGCACAAGACATTATGAAAAACGCCACTCTTGTTGTTAGAGAAAGGGAAAGATCGTTTCTAACAAAAGATCTCAAAGGAATTTTTTTAAAGAAAATTGCCTTGAAGCCTAAGCCTTCCAAGACATTAAACTTTGAACAGGTTGGAGAGGGAGGTAACTCGGGGAAGGGTATTCTAATGGTGTGGGCAAAGCCACAGAAGTGAGAAATGCATAATGAATTCCCAGAGAATAGCAAGAAACAGTTTGGTTGGAGCCAAAGATTTGCGTAACACAGCACTGAAGGGCAAGGCTGGAGATATGGGTTGGGGCAAAGTGGTAGAAATCCCTGACTCTTCAGACATCAGGGAAACCGTGGAACATTCTAGATAGGATCATGGCAAGTGACATCTAATCTGAACCTTTTAAAAAATAGCTTTATTGAGTAATAGTTGAGATGTGATAGGCTTCACATATTTACATTGTAAAGTTTGATTAGTTCTCAAGCTAGAGCTATGTATAACTGCCGTGACACCAACTCCTCAGAGTCAGGCACAAGGTTATGGGTACAAGACAGCCCTCATCATAGGTACCAGCAGGGGGTTCCCAGTCCCTGCCCCATTTCCATAATTCACTAGATAACTCATAATAATTTGATAATTCACTAGAACTACACCCAAAACTCAGGAAAGCACTATGCCTGTGATTATAGTTTTATTATATCAAAGGATACAAATCAGAGCCAGCGTAGGGTGATGTCTGAGAGGGTCCCTTCTGTGTGTTCTCCCTGGGGAGGTGGTAGGGTGCATCACTGTCTCAGCACGCTAATGTGTGACAATACACAGTGTCACCACCCGAGAAGTCTCCACAGATTTTGGTTTTCCTGATGTGTTATGAGGGCTTCATGATCCAGGCATGTTTTATTGACACATTGCCCTGTGACTCAGTCATTACAACCTCTTCTCTCCAGGAGTCAGAGTGATAGCAAATGGTCCAAAGTCCTATTACCCTCGGCATGTGGTTGGTCTTCCTGGAAGGACCAGACCCCATCCCACATCATTCATTAGCATGAATTATCTCAAGGCTCCTCCCAAATCACTTCATTAGCATAAACTCAAATGTGACTTGAGGGGCCCACAAGTACCATAAAGACACCCTTAAAACTCAGAAAATTCCTGAGATGTATAAGTAGCCTGCTTGGAATGAAGGCCAAAGACCTTCATTATTACACAGGTAAATTATGTTCATTATTATTCAAGATAAGGTTGTTACATATATCAGTAATTCATCCTACTCTTTCTGCATAGTATTCTACTGTATGTATACACTATAATCTCTTTGTTCATTTACTTGTTAGCGTACACTGGGTTGTTTCCAGTTTTGGTTTTTACAAATACAACTTTTATGAATTTCCATGTTTCAGTAATTGTACAGACACATGCTTTCATTCCTCATAGGTAAATAACCAGAAGTAGACTAAGTGGGTCGAATGGTAGTTATACACTTAACTTTTTAAGAAACTACTGAATGGCTGCTGTGTTTGCACAATGTTACACCGCCAGCAGGACTGTAGTATCCTAGTTTTCCTGCATCCTCAGAAACACTCGTTGGTCGGGGTCAAAGTAACACCCAGTGGAAACTCTTCCTTGGAACATGGCACCAATGCCACCCACTCTGTTTGTGCTGATGTGAAACCTTGAGCGACACTTTGCTACTATGGAGTCTTCCTGGGACCAAAAAACAGGGACAGAAACAGAATGAGACAGGACAAACGAAATGTCAGGCAGGACGTTCAATCAGTGAGTATTTCAGGAAGTGTGGGACAGGCGTGGTGCGTGCGTGCAGCGATGCTCAGAAAAATCGTCACAGAGGTAAAGAAATAAACCTTAGATGAAGGTAGGAAGGAAGCATGAGGTTGTAAATATTTAGACTTCAAGTTGTAACTTTTACTCTACCATCTCTCTGCCCAGTAGGTCAGGGTAAGCTGCACAAAATCAAAGTAAATAAAATTCTTAACTCCCGGACCTGTGGCTCTCAGAAATACCAAGGCTGACATTTGATTCTAAAAGGAAAGGAAATATTGAATGAGCCATTGATTGTTATGATCAACTTTACTTACCTGGAACATTATTTTCCAAGTAAATTTTTAATCCTAGTGTTGTAGAGGGTTGGAGAGAGCAGTAAAAGAGAATTCTAAGGCCAAACAACTTTAGGAAATAACGTAAATTATTGTCACTTCTAGAAGCTTACAATGCCTATTAGCAATTAAACATTCAAGAGCCGTGGAATCAACAAACTTGTTTAGCTCTGTTTGATCTACAAATCTCCTCATGTACTGTGTTTTGTATGGCAACCTTCCCACATAAGACCAATCACAGTCTTGTGGAACCAGTCAGGATTCCCTCAGAGTTGTTTTGGGAAATACCCACAGTTAGAAGTTTTCTGGGAAACCTTTTCAACTCAGTAAAATTGATGCCCAATGACAAATCTGGTCTCTCAGACTGGCAAGAATCCTTGGCATCATGCTAAAAATTTCAGAAAGCTTATCTCATTTAGTCAGAGCATCAAGTTTATGATGTGAGTTATGGCCTAATTTCACAAGGAAGGTGATTAAGGTTCCAATAGATTAAAGTTCAAAACCATTATCTATCTGACTTTGGAGTCTTCCCTGTCAACTGCTGACTTAGTTACTTTTCTAACTGCTGAGACAAAATATTCAACACCCCACAAGTTAAAGGAGGAAAGGTTTATTTAGCTCACAGTTTGTAGAGGTTTCAATCCATCACTGACTGGCTCCAAGATAGGGTGACATTGCACAGGAAAAATAGTTCATGGTGGCAGAATATAGCAAAGCAATCAGGGACAGCCACAACTCTTTCTGTCCCTTATGTCTCATCCAGGCTACTTTGGGCAGGTGGCCCTCACACTGTTAACCCTGGTACCCTTAATCCTAGCATTGCACCATGAATCAATTCCAGCACCACCTACTCTAGATCCAGCCACGTCTGAAAAAGTCCCACCCATGACTGCATGAGACTTTGGGGGAGCATCTAGACACAAACCATAACGTGGGGCTTTGTGGGAAATGGTAAGATTGGAGAGTGGACTATACAGGGCTAAGTTGCTGATCAAAAGGACCTCTGCTGTGTTGGAAAGAGCATATCTTGAGCACAGAGCTCTGAGCTCAAGATAACACCCCAGCTGAGGCAGCCAAAGACATGGTCTGCTGACACTCCCCACTCCAGAGCAACAAGGCTGCCAACCTTGGAGATCAAATAGTTCTCAAAATTGGCAAAATTTACTGCTTGGAGAAGCCTTTGAACTGATTTCCCAAGGTCCTGCTCAGTTCCCGCACTTGCCTCGGGATCCCCTTCCTTTGAAAATCAAGTAAATACCAAGCACTTTGTCTTTACTCCAGAGAGAGAGCGTTCTGAACTTCCTGGACCCCCCAATCATCCCATTTGTCTCTTTTATTTAAGATACTCACTAATCCACTCGTTTAGCAGATTGTGAGTCTGAACAATCCACAATAATTCTATCTGCCGACCTAAGGGAAAGAAAACTCATGCCAGTTGGTCTTCCCCTCCTCTCTTTGTATCTAATACCCGAGTTTAACGCATTTAATGTTCAGTTTACAGCTGGAGAAACCAAGCCACAGAGAGTTGCCCAGTATCACAATAACAGGTTAGAAACATAACTTGACCCAGATCTCACCGTTGCAAATTCCTGTTCCTTTTCTGAATACACGCTGTCTTTAAAAGGGAAAAATTTGCCTGCTAGTGGGAAAGCAATGAGGGTTCAATCATTTTTTACTAGTTGCACTGTGAATAGTGACACTGAGTTGGGGAAACTCTGGATGCTGAGACATCTGTTTTAGAAAGATCATTGTAATTGTCCAGGCAAGAAAGGGCTGCATCCTAACAGAAGGTGAGGATCAAATTACAATGCAATGGATACAGATGAGTTTCAGAGGAAGAATCAATACGATAGCCCTTGGTTATTGATTAGGTAATGAGAGAAGAGATTAAGGAAGAAGAAGATATCAAGGATTATGGATGATTCTTCAATTTTGTTTTTGTTTATTTTGTGATAATGAGAACCCAGGGTCTTCACTCTGACCTACATCCCTAGCCCCTTTTTATTGTTTATTTTGAGACAGTCTTTCTCTAAGTCATTCAGTCACCTCAGCTATGGCTTATACTTGGAGTCTTCCTGCCTCAGTCTCCCAGAGTGTCAGGATTACAGGCATGGGCCACCATACCCAGATAACCTTACACTTCTGCACC